AAGAAAAACAAAATGTTGTTCCAATTATTAAAAAAATATAGATAATATGTTATATATGTTTACATATCATTATTACGTAATTAGGTCTTCGAACGATTGTTGCTCGAAATTGTAGAAGAATGCATCGGTAAGGAGGTCTGCTCCTTCCACCTTACACTGCTTGTGGTACAGCGTGTGGCAAATTTATGCGGATGTATGTAACACTCAGACCAACTTGACTAGACTCAACTTGCATTAAACTTGACGGCTCGCCCGTCCTTCTATCTCTGTCTGTATATCTGTTATTAGGCTTAAGTTATGGGTCACAATTTTTAAGATAGTCTAACAAAATGTGTTACGTAGCGATAACACACCAAATATTAAATGTTATTTTTATGTAATCATACTTTTCATGAAAGCACTTACGTTGGAGGACACTTCCAACGCCAAAAGACCAGAAACCTATTTTGCCAAATATTATATTACTTTTCAGATTCTTCCGCCATAGAGGACTACAAATTAGAGAAGGGCTTGCGTTTCGTAGAGCTCCCATATAGGATGTGTCCTAGAAAAGAGACCTATGTGATTTTAATGCCCTACGGTTATATTATTATCAATCAATTTTCATCACAAAATATAAAAAATTAGACTTTTTCGGCATAATAAAGCTTTATTTTTAACGACAATCCTTGAATCTCCAAAAAATAGATCTACTTGATCCAAATTTGGTACTATTCAATTTTGTATTACTTACGAATTAGTTTTTATCAGAAAATAGGAAAAATTGGACATGTTTGCCATATAAAGTCTTATTGTTTGTTAAAGTCTTTATATGGGGTGAGATTTAAAAAGTAGACCTAGGTCTAAATTCGGTAAATGGTTAACTCCTATGTCAAATTAATATGTCAGAACGGTTATATGTTCAAAAAATTACCTTAGCCGCTCCAAATTATTCAAACCAGATACGGAAATTCTAAAAATGACAAAATTTTTTTTAATTAACAACGTTTCAAAATCAGGCGTAATGAGAGGAGTGGTCGAAAAAAGTCTGTACTGAATGATTGTTCGCTCCTCACTTAGAACGGGTCATTGCGCCAAAATTCATCAAAATATCTCAAAAATTAAAAAGTGATTCAGACCCATGTAATAAAGGGTTGGCCTAATTCAAGTTCTTCTGGGTGTTATACACTCACCCGTACAAACTTAACATACCTTTGTATAACATGTGGTGTAAGGTATAATTAACTATACCTAATTTAGACAATCTAAGTCTAGTTTTGAGTTCCCGTGAAACGAATGTTTTCAGACGAAAACGACGGGACGGAATCTTTCGTATCATCACCGTTTACCCAAAAAAAAAAAGACTAAAGAAGCAAAGAACAAAATTCTCCTATAATGTGGAGTGGACTTAGTTGATTTCTTCTATTTTTAACATAATAGTTTTTGTCGTAGAGACATGTGGACCTTGTGGGCGTGCCCTTTGAAAAGCTAAGATTAATTCCAAATTCTTTTGCAAATTTATAGCGGATATCTTCATTTTCGCTGATAGGAGAATATTTAGCACAAATACTACGCACACAGTTGCGCACACAGATAGATGCACAGACGAACAGGCGGACATGTTTGAATGCATTCAGTATTTGAAATTGGCCAAGGATTTGTATACTTTACGAGATTTTTGAACCATGTTTCTGCGCGTTATAAACCTATTGACAAAATACATAAAATTTTGATACACTATAACATTCGGTAGGCGTGCCAATTTTTTCCATTTTTGTACACAAATACTATAGCATCGCCCATTGAATAAGCGTTCAAATTTTTGCACATTTATTTTTTACAGTTTTTGAGTAACGAACAACAAACCAATTTCTCATTCCCTTTGGAAAACAGAGGTGTTTTCAGTTTGCATGATGCTGTTTGCGTGTCCCTCGATCGATTTCGCCCATTTTCAATACCAAGCTGCGTGCAAGCACAAGTGCGTCCACTGTTGCTATCAAATTTGAAGTCGATAGCTTAATTTTTGCGGCCAGGAGAATGTTTACAACAGATGGACAGACGGACATACTTAAACCAATTCGGAATTTGATGTTAATCAAAAATATATATACTTTGTGGCATCTGTGATGCTTTCTTGCGCGCGTTGCAAACGTTTTGACAAAATGAATATACTCCTCATCCTTCGGTGATAACATTTTGATGAAACCTTAAAGATTTTTTATTGCCGCCACATAGCTGCAGCTCTGTAAACAAAATTGCTTCAATATATTTATGATTATTTTAATTATAAAAGGTCAGCTTCTCTCTTACAATTGTATATAGACAACACTATTCACAAGTTTTGGATAGGTTATCTAGAAATGCTGAACTGAGCTTTTATGGACAGTTGTACATAAAGTTCGGAAAATGCTAATAAAGTTTAGGAAACGTGTTGTGTTCAATTTCACTTTGAATAGGAGCCGAACTTTTGCAATTACATATTATTAAATTATATTATACGAGCTAATTAATGTAAGTGAAATCATATTTTTTACTGCCACTTAAAATATAAAAAAAAAAAAAAGGAATTTTTTTTAACCCATTATTCTGAATATTTTCATTTATTAAACTCACTATTCACTTATTTATATACTCAGGCTTATTACATGCATACATGCATACATGCATACATACACACATATACAAGTATCTATTACGTAAACTAATGTTAAATTCATCTTAATATATATAATTATCTCTGGAGAACAACAATAACAAACAAAGTAAACAAAAATTTACTTAAAGAGTGTACATTTAAAAGAACGTTAAAAAAAAAAAAAATAAATAAATAAAAATGAAAGAAAAACCACTACTTAATGAACATCGCACAGGCAAATATTCAGGCAGAGTCATGCATAAGCGGGACAATGTTCAATGTTAAATTGTCTAAAAAAATGTTTGAAGCCGTCCGATGATATCATTTCACAAAAAACGACAGTTTAATACAGTCTTACTTTACTTTAAAAGATATTTAGTGTAAAAATTGCAATTTTCTTCTCTTCTTTTTTCACTTTTCATGTTGCACGACGATTATATAAAAAAGAAACAGAATTAATTTTTTTGTTTTAAGATTTTTATGCTCACCACGAAAGGATATAAATGTATATATATATATATATATATTCTCGATCAGTTCGATTTATGACAATTATGAATGAAGGTCACGTATAAATGACGACATACTGCGTCCACAACCACCTAACAACCAAAATAACTACAATTTAGATATTCGTCGAAAATGCGATATAATTCCATGTGTGAGCACGATTTAAAATTTCAGAGAAAGAAAAAAACATGGTCTGTCTTCAGAAACACGTTCGCCCAGACAGTGTAACTTATAGCTTATAAGAAATATTCAGCTAGCATTTCCTAGGTTCGACCCTTACGTCCGCGTTTATCAAAACACTTTACAATTTTGATACAGCAATTAGTTCAGGCGATTGAATTGCAAGCCGAACATAATTCTCTCGCTTGCTCTTAATATGGTGTCATAACAAATTTATATTAAGTTAATCCACGGAGTTCATAGTATATGAACTCGAAATTGAAGAGCATCTTTTTATTCAGAAAAGGAAAAAATATTGAGAGAATTCTTGTCACTTTTTTTATCATATATTGTTTTTCTAATTTGTAATGAATGTTACTTAATCACATACCCATGACCTTCGAAGACTTATCGACGAAAAACTTGACCAAGTGGTTGATATTTAATTGCTTAGCAATGCGTTTTCTTTTCTTTTTTTTTTTTTTTTTTTTTTTGAAGATTACGGTCACTTTGGGAGTGGTTGATCGACCAGAGTAGAGCCATTAAAAATCTTAACTGTCAACATTTGTTTCTCAATTTTTACGATTGTGAGGGTACGCCTACAACAGAGGAAAATTAAGCGTACTTAATATCTCGTACTGATCAAGGACATATACAGATTATAAACTTTGTGTTTAAGTTCTTAAAGTTCTTCAGTTTGAGTGAGACCACTGCCTTTGAAGGAACTATACTTATTTTCGAGCTTGTTCTGTGGAGCTTTATTGAGGTTATATGTGCCGTGTTTCAATTTTGGATTACATACACAATAAACAGACTGAGGAGTAGAAGGGCATAATTGCCTAAAATAAATGCTGGAGAAAAACGACTACAGAGCCATTCTTAACCAAAGAAAAGGACTTTAGCTATCTCCGCACTTCTGTCAGCCTTTTCAATTCTCGATTACGTAAGCAAAACTTCATCTAGAATACGAAGTTCTTATCTTAAGTTCGTGTTTTTCATTTTTGCTTACTTAAACTCTTTAAACCAAAATTTTCTCTTTCGTCTTTTTTATGCTGTATATTCTCGCCTTTGCTTTTCAATGCTACATCTATCTATGAACGATATGGCATATATTCATAGGTAATATGATATTTTCGCTTACATGGTATGTTTAGTTATCTCAAGCATGTGACATTAATATTATTCTTGAAGGATATTAATATAAATTATCTACCCTACACAGGTTGCGGTGCAAAGATTCAATGATATCAGGTTCATATGGATGTTTGCAACAACCAATCAGACTCGAGCTAGATTCACTTTTTGTTCTGTCAATTAATTCCGACTCATTTTCTAAAGTGATTTAAAGCGATATATTCATCTAATGTTTGTCCATGTGATTTTGAGCTCAACGAAACATGTCGCACTGATTAAGGATCCCTTTCTATGATACTTGTTTTCTTGAAGAAGATCTTCCATTTTCCGTTATTTCGTGATAAAAATCGATAAAAGATAGTAATTTAATCTACTGAATGAATGCAGAAAATTTTGATGACATAAGGCCACTCCTTGCACGCTATAAATGTTCTTTCACAAAATGTATATTTTTATGGCAGCAACGTTTAACTTCTACTCTAGAAATGAAAAGTTAGAAAATTGCTCCAGAATAGCGACTTGACAATGAGTTTACTCTGTGAAATTTCGACCGCATTGATCTATTTTTTGAAACGTTCATATAAACGTTCTAATAAATAGTAAGTTCTTATAGGGTAATGTGGTCTATTTTGCAATGAACATGGTTGGATACGGCATTTACCTACCAGCAGTCGCTAACTATAACATATTAAATTTTTTTCAAACAAGTCGAATAAATAAATTCAAAAAAATTCGCAAATTAATCCAATTTCATTGACTATGCGCCAGATAAGAAACGTAATGAAAATCGGCGATAAATACAAGTCCATTCCATAATTAGAATTAAATAGAAAAACCTACAAAATTCTTGATACTTAACGGAATGAAAATTTTTCAAGTTTTCACATACGAGCATACAAGACGTCTTTTATGCGAAGATTTTTGCCGTCGTATATGCATCGGTGGATGCAAGTAAGTAAATAAAAACGGCATAAACTTTATATAACGCCATTGACCCGTTAAGGATTAGTATATAAAAAGTACAAAGAGTTCCGCTCTGTTAATTATTATATGTGACGTTCATCTGGACGAATAAATGGAACACATTAAAATAAGTTCTTATTGCAGCATGATTTTACTGAATAAATAAATAAAATTAAAAGTAAAAAAAAAGAAAAAAAAGAAAAAAAAATTAAATTAAAGAATATTTTAAATAAATCTTTCTTTAAGAACTAATTGTTAAGATTCCCGTAATCATTAAGAAAAAAGCAATAAAATGAAACACATAAACAACAGTTCGTCACACAAGCCACCGTCATATTTATTGTCATGGTTACTGATCTCTTTGTTATTATTTATGAGATTTGGTACCACCATCGGTAGCAGTCATAGCGGTGCCACATTTATGCCAGCCTTAGAATGTTATGATCGTTACAGCAAACCACAGGTAAATGCTATTTATATATATATATATATATATATATATCTATATATAATATTGTCCAGAAAGTATCGGGAATATTTATATGATTCCATTATATCAAAACAAATCTATTTTTCGCGAAAGAATTTCATGAATACTTCCAAGCTTTTGAAACATCTCCGTAGGCTTGATATTTTAGGGTTTTGTTTTTTAATGTTTGTGCCAACTTTGTTTGCTAGATTCAATTCGCGATGCATTTAAACAATAAATAGCTGCATTTCAGACATACTTTGTTTTTCGGGACTTTTTCCCCACAAAAATTCTATTCTTATGGCTAAAGTGCTGCAGCGGAAGTATATTTACGGAATATAATTCTGAACACATGAATGAGAGAAGTGGAAAGTTATCTTGGCCACGTTTTTCCACAAAAATAAATTCAAAATTCTTGGAAACTTTAGCAGACAGTTATAGGCAATGAGGATCAATCATTTATTAATAAATGGACCAAGTGTTTTTTATGAAAATTTACCTCAAATCTGACATGAATCATTACATTCACGTACTATTTCCGATTTCAAATTGTCCTGTTACTGCACTGAAATAATTTTCCACTAGCAACCCAAATATAAATGATAACTAAGACTGGATTCACTTAACCAACTTTAATTGAAAAATTCTGGTTTCTTTTCAATATAATTATATAGATATATATTTAAATCTTTTATATATTCAAATGAAAATATGTTAACAAGTTAATATCCTCATATACAAGCTTGTTTTCCAATATCAATTACTTGACATTATAATTTCATGTCTGAGACAATTCTCATACAAATACAATGTATTGTTTACTTTTATATTCACGTATAAGCTTATGGACATGCTATTGTGGTAATGAATTGAATTCAATTGAAATGAGATACCAATGAATTTATCATAAACAAAAAAAAGATGAATGCACATTTCATTAATAAAACTGCTAATGCTGGGACAATTTGCACAAAGCGTATATATTTACATATATATACATATACATATATATATATATATAAAACATTTTCATTGAAGAAAGAAGGAAGAAATACTATCGTCAAGTGCGAGCAGGAGCGACCTATTTCGTAGATGTATTTTAAGCTCCCTCCTTCCATACCCTACAATTTTTTGCCAAAGTTGGCGCAATGTAAGCGGTATGGCGACTGAAAGAGGGAGAGAAAGAAAGACAGAGAGAGGGAGAGAAAGAATAACAAAGAGAGAGAGAGAGAGAGAGAGAGAGATAAAAAGAGCGGTGGAAAAATAAAGTAGAAAAGAGAGGCAGTGACATAAAGTGAAAAGAAAAGATGAAGGGAGGTAGGTGAAGCAGAAACCGAAGCAGTACCGAATACTTGATAGTCATTACGATATCAGAGATAACTTCTACAAGTTTCGCGGGATTTTTAACATGTTCAGGAGCTTATGGAAATGGATTTTAGTAAAGTTTTATCGTACTGTAGCAATTTTTCATCTTCCATCGCAGCGAGATCATTTTAATAGATTGATGTGAAAAGATTTTCGAAAAAAAAAATTAAAAACTAAAATCTCCTTCTTTCCGACCCAATAACAAAATAAATTGTGAGCATATCGGGCCTTGATCTTAATTGCCTGTATTAGCAATGGCGAAGCTTAACTGCCGCGTCGCCTGTGTCATCTTTGAAGCGAAAGAACAGCTTTTCTTTTTATACCCATTACCGAAGGTTGAGGGGCGTATTCATTTTGCCAAAACATGTGCAACGCCCAGAAGGAAGCATCAAAGACCCCACAAAGTATATGTATTTTCGATCAGCATGAAATTCGAAATCGATTTAATCATTTCCGTCTGGTCATCTGACAGTCTGCCCGTCTGTGTAATGTCTGTCGTGGCCGTAAAAATGAAGCTATCGTCTTCAAATTTGGCAGAAACAGTGAAAATTCTTGCACGCCGGTTCGTATTGAAAATGGGCGACACGCAAACAGCATCATGCAAACTAAGAATAACTCTGTTTTTCAAAGGGAATGAAAAATTGGTTTATTGTTTATTACTCATAAACTATAGCAAATAAATGTACAAAAACTTGAACGCATATTCGCAGCACAAAAATGGAAAAAATTGACTACGCCTACCGAATATTATAGCTCATCAACATTTAGTTGTTTTTTCATTACCTTTATAACGCGTAGAAACAAGCTTTAAAAACCCTATAAAGTATATAAATTCTTGGCCACTTTCAAATATGGAATGCACCTAAACATGTCCGTCTATTCGTCTAATAAGAAAATGATCAAAAGTAGAAATTGCATTGAGAATATCGAAGACGAAATAACTCTTCCTTCGTTGAAATTTGAAGATCTAGGATAGTATGTGAGGCAGAAATTAGCAAATAACGTTCAGAGCATGGTTTAAATTTTATTTTGAAGTATTCTGAATGAAAGCAAAATTATACAAAGTGAAGCGTACAATGATTTAAGATGTTTCTGCTCAAATCATCGATCCCTTAATCGTGAGTTTTTAATTTGCAGAAATGTATGCCAGAATTCGTAAATGCTGCCTATCAACTACAGATTGAAGCGACGAACACATGCGGCGAACAGGGCGATAACCATTTCTGTGTGCAGACAATGAATTCGAATCATAAGAATTGTGAATTTTGCCGGTATATTAAATTAAGATTTTATTCAAATGAATAAATAGTTGAAACGATGTTTGTGTCTTTGTTTCTACATAAAAAACATAGATGGGATGATCATAATCCAGCATTTCTAACGGATTTACACGATCCGCAAAATCCAACATCATGGCAATCAGAAACGATGTACGAAGGCATACAACATCCGAACCATGTTAATCTAACGTTACATTTGGGTAAGATATAAGAAAGCAGCAAACAATGAAAAGCAATTCGCTTTATTCATTTTTCATTTATATTCGTTTACTACGAATTGTAGGGAAGTCATTTGATATCACATACGTTCGCATTCTATTTCGTTCACCAAGACCTGAATCGTTTGCCATTTACAAACGCACTAGCGAAACTGATCTATGGATACCGTACCAATACTACAGTGCTACTTGCAGAGACACTTACGCTTTGCCAGATTCCAGAGCTATACGCAAAGGCGAGGGAGAGGCTCATGCTTTATGTACCAGTGAATATAGCGATATTTCACCATTAAGAGATGGTGAAATAGCTTTTTCAACTTTGGAGGGACGTCCCAGTGGTATACATTTTGAGCGAAGTGCAGAGTTACAGGTAAATATGAGAGAATATGCACTACTACACTCTTGAGTACAAAATATGTTTCATTTATTCATGTATACACTCTTTTAAGGAATGGGTTACTGCGACTGACATACGAATTACACTCGACCGTTTGAACACGTTCGGTGACGAGCTCTTTGGCGACGCTCAAGTACTCAAATCATATTTTTATGCCATCTCCGATATTGCGGTGGGAGCACGTTGCAAGTGTAACGGTCATGCTAGTAAATGTGTGGCCAGCACCGGCATGAATGGTGAACGTAAACTGGTATGCGAGTGTCGTCACAATACTGATGGCCCCGATTGTGAGAAATGTCTGCCACTATACAATGACGTCAAATGGAAAAGGGCCACCTCAACAGAAGTCAACGAATGCAAACGTAAGTGAGCATATGAAATAAAAAGCCTTAAATGGCAAAAACAAGTGTGTCTATGACTTTTGACTGAGATGCGCTGCTGCTACCACTATTTAAGATGATTAAACTACCGTTAGGAGAACGAAATGAGCTAGTTAGGTAAACACCAACAAACCAGTAAGAAGTAGTCGTAGTGATAAATGATAGGATGAAAGTCAATCTATTTTTAATGTTCCTAAGAGTTTGTTATAGTTCAGGTCAATGGGACTATGAACTAAAGACAAATAAAATTGATCTATATCCCGCACAATGGTATTTAGTGAATTGTAAGTGCTTTAAAGATAAATAGATAAAAATCCGGTATAGAGTCCGTCCTATTATTTCCTCAACTTTATTATATTTGTCTTTGAAATCTTTCTCTTTCAGGGTGTAATTGTAATGGTTTCGCTGATAAGTGTTTTTTCGATGCTCATCTCTTCAATTTAACGGGCCACGGTGGTCACTGTTTAGACTGTCGCGAAAATCGTGATGGTCCAAATTGTGAACGATGCAAAGAAAATTTTTACATGCGCGAGGATAATTATTGCATACACTGTGGCTGTGACCCAGTTGGTTCACGTTCTCTCCAGTGCAACAGTCAGGGCAAATGTCAATGTAAGCCAGGTGTCACTGGTGACAAATGTGATCGTTGTGAAATGAATTACTACCAGTTTGGCCCACACGGCTGCCAACCTTGCGGTTGTGATTCAAGAGGCTCATTTGAAAATGTGCCCTCCTGTGATACCGAAACTGGCATTTGCCGTTGTAAGGATAATGTGGAAGGCAAACGTTGTAACGAGTAAGTGTTTGCCATCGTTCTTTAGTATTAAATTAATTAACCCTTGCGCGTTTTCAGATGTAAACCGGGTTTCTTTAATCTTGATTTAACTAATCGCTTCGGTTGCACCCCGTGTTTTTGTTATGGTCATACGTCGGAATGCCAAACAGCTCCTGGTTATTCGGTGGTTTCAATTGCTTCCAATTTCAATAAGCACAAAGAACGTTGGGGGGCCGTGGACTTATATAATCGCGACATGGATATTAAATATAATCAGTATAGTCGAAGCATAGGCACCACCGCTCAAGGCAATGAGTACGTATTCTTCCAAGCCCCAGAACGTTTCTTAGGTGATCAACGAGCTTCTTACAATCGGGATTTGAAATTCAAGCTACAGTTAGTGGGCCAAGTGGGACCTAGCACGAGCGCTAACGATGTCATTTTGGTAGGTGCTGGTACAAAGATCTCTTTGCCTATCTTCGCCCAGAATAATGGAATGCCCGATCAAAATCTTAAAGAATATTCTTTTCGTTTGCACGAACATCGAGACTATCAGTGGCAACCAAGTCAATCAGGTAGAGGCTTTCTTTCCATTCTCTCCAACCTAACGGCCATAAAAATAAGAGCCACTTATTCGGTGCAAGGTGAAGCTATTTTGGATGATGTGGAATTGCAAACAGCTCATCGGGGTGCTGCTGGTCATCCAGCAACCTGGATAGAACAGTGCACCTGCCCCGAAGGCTATTTGGGGCAGTTTTGCGAGTCCTGTGCACCAGGCTATCGGCACAGTCCGGCAAGAGGTGGACCTTTCATGCCTTGCATACCTTGCGATTGTAATGGGCATTCCGATATTTGTGATTCTGAGACTGGGCGTTGCATTTGCCAACATAACACTACAGGAGATAATTGTGATCAGTGTGCCAGAGGTTACTACGGCAATGCCCTAGGTGGTACACCCTATGATTGCAAACGCTGCCCTTGTCCTAACGATGGCGCCTGCATGCAAATTAATGGCGACACTGTCATTTGTACGGAATGTCCTGTCGGGTACTTTGGTGCCAGATGTGAACAATGCTCCGATGGCTTTTATGGTGATCCGACCGGTCTTTATGGAGAAGTTCAAACTTGCAAATCATGCGACTGTAATGGTAACGTCGATCCTAACGCCGTAGGGAACTGCAATCGTACCAGCGGCGAATGTTTGAAATGCATACACAATAGTGCAGGCAAATATTGTGACGAATGCCTTCCCGGTCACTTTGGTGATCCTTTAGCCCTTCCACATGGCCACTGCGAACGGTGCAGTTGCTACCCACCCGGTACCGAACAGAATGAAGAAGGTGTATCTCAGTGCGATCAGATTACGGGACAATGTCATTGCAAACCCAACGTTATAGGCCGTGACTGCGGTGAATGCCAGCCGGGCTATTTTAACATTATGTCTGGCAATGGCTGTGAGAACTGTATGTGTGATCCCGTAGGCAGTTATAATTCTACCTGTGACCGTTTTACTGGGCAATGTTTCTGCAAACCGGGTGTAGTGGGCCAACATTGCGATCAGTGTGCCGTTTATCATTACGGGTTTTCTTCCGAAGGTTGCAAACCATGCGAATGTGACGACAGCGGCTCTAAAGGCTTTCAATGCGATCAAAATGGCCAATGCCCCTGTAATGACAACGTAGAGGGTCGACGGTGCGACCGTTGCAAAGAAAATAAATACGATCGACATATGGGATGTATTGATTGCCCAGACTGCTATAACTTGGTGCAAGATGCCGCTAATGAGCATAGGACTAAACTGAAAAGTCTCAGCTCTACTTTAGATGAAATTGCTCGGACACCAGTAACCAATGATGAAGAATTTGAAGCCAAGCTAAAGTCAGTGCAAGAAAAAGTTGATATTTTGCTAAGCGATGCGAAGTATGGAGCTGGCGACGGTGGTCAAACATATGTAGAAGTTTTAAATGATTTACATAAGCGGTTGGAAGGTATAAGTTCGCATTTGGACAGTGCTGACTCATTGCAGGATACCGCCAATGAGGAAATCGAAAAAGGGCGCCAGAATCATACGAAGGCTCAGGACATTATTGATGCTGCCAATAATGAAATTAAGAACGCAATGAATATGCTTAACGATGAAGGCGCCTTGGCCTTAGCAAAGGCTCGAAACAAATCTGTTGAATTTGGTGTACAATCCAATCAAATCTCTGAAATCTCTCGAGAGGCTCGAGCATTGGCCGACCGTTTAGAATCGGAAGCACAGTTTGATTTGAAAAATGCGAAAGATGCGAACGATGCCGTCGAAAAAGCCTATGAATTAGCTAAAAGTGCAATTAATCTACAACAAAAAGTTAGCGATGAACTGAGGACTGAAGTGCGCTTAGAATTGGATACTGTTAAGTTGTCTTTGGGGACTACCGCCCAAACTACTAAAGAAGCTTTACGTAAAGCGAATGAAGTTTACGATACTGCCCTAACGCTGTTGGCTGATGTGAATGGTCTGACTGCACCGGATATTGACATCAAGAAATTGAAACAAGATGCACTGGAAGCAAATGAACAAGCCGACGAACTACTGAAACGAGTCAATGCTATCTCAAATAATAATGGTGAATTATTTGCCGATTTTGAAGATGAGTATAGTTTAGCCGAAGTTATCTTAGAAAGGTGAGCACAAAGATAATCACAAACGACAATTTAAAGAAATATTTATTTAAAGAGCCGATCAACAAAAACTGGATGATATAAAACTTTTAGAGCGAGCCAAGGACGCTTACGACAAAGCCACCAAAGCCGTAGAACAAGGTGATAATACCCTGAAGGAAGCCAACAACACTTATCATACTTTAGCGGGTAAGCCTTTTCTTCTTTTAAACATATTAATAAGTTAAACCAAAGCAAAACATTTAAAATCCAATTTCATCGGAAAAGGCTTTCAATCTGACGTTCAGCTTTCATCAGAAAGGGCGCAATTTGCTTTGAAAACTGTGCCAATCATCGAGGAAGAAATTGAAAAGGCTGAAACTTTAATAAGACAAGCGGAAACAGCGTTGGCGGGCGCCAATAAGAATGCCAATGAAGCTAAACAAAATGCTCAAGAAGCTCAACAAAAATATGCCGAACAAGCCTCGAAGGTAAATATTAACTCGCACTAGGAGAAGAGAATGATCGAGCGTTACAAATGCCAGAATTGGGGAATCCTTTTTGTAAGCAAAAATTTCCGCTTCTCTCAAGACAAGAGATTCCTTAAGCCATTATCTGTCGCAAATTGTAAGTCACTTTCATCCAAACGAAGGCAATCTGCGTTAGTAACACTAACCAATGGACTTCGTATCCGATTCGATATTTCGTCGATCCATTTGATTTATTTTCTCTTAACTCATCACACCTTTATCTCTTACATCTGTTCATTTTGTAAAACACTTTTCGAAGCATTCAACTCAGTTATTTTCCTATTGATTTTAAATAATTTAATACCGTAATACACTAATACTTCAAGCTCAGTTCAGTTAGGCAGGACGCAATTACAATATGGGAAGCGCACAGAACGTAGAACGATGATTTGCAAAAAATCTTATCCATTAAAGTAAATTTAATTTCAAACTTTCTATCTTTTCTTCCTGTTAATCGCACATGCTATTGCCGTAAGCATGTCTTAAGCCAGCAAAGGATATTTAAAATGTTGCTTTTTTTCTTCTCGCTTTTTCTAGGATGCAGAACATATACGGAGACGAGCGAATGAAACTAAAGTTAATGCTCGTAAATTAAGGGATGAAGCAGACCAATTGAATCATCGCGTAAAGGTAACCGAAATCGATATAAGTAAATTGGAGGACTCGTCTAGTAAAGACGATAATCTTGTGGATGACGCAAAACGAAAGGTGATTCCTTTTCCTCTTCTCATCTTTCATAAAATAAATTAATGGATGATTTTTTTTAGGTCGGCCAAGCTAAGGCCGATTCCCAAGAAGTTAAAAAACAAATTGATAAGGCTGTCAATGAATTAGACGCCATTAAAGAAGAACTTACCAATCTAAAAGATATCAATACCGAAGATTTGAATAAATTAGGTAAAATTATTTTCAAAAAAAGTTTGTTTTTTTTGAATTTACAAAAAAAAAAAAAATTTATTCTTCCCTTTATAGAAAATCGTTTAAATATAGCGGAAGCTGAGTTAAGTCGGGCTAATTTAAATGAACGCATAGATAAATTCCGTGAGATGCGTAATACTCAAAAGAAATGGATCGATAAATATGAAAAAGAAGTTCAGGAACTTGAAGCGGAAGTTCTTAATGTACGTCTCATATCAGAAGCACTGCCCATGGGTTGTTTTCAACGAAATCGATTAGAACCCTATTAATGCAAGCAACTCAAGCAATCTCTACATAATTTCCCTACTCTTTGAAACACACGAATAAATTCTACAATTATTTTTTATTCATTCTTAGTAAATTCGAGTATAAGTGCCTATTATTTAAAGCAAGAAGTTTTAGTGTTTTTATAGCTTCCCTAATCTTAATTTCATTCGCATTATTACAAAACTCGAGGTATTAATGAATTGCAATATATCGAATAAATGCAAATTTCTCTTCTTTTCCGTAATTTTAAGTTTTAGTGTTTTTGTTTTAATTTTATGACTTCTTTTCTTTGATCAAATATAAGCTTAAGCAAATATTTTTTATTAAATATATAATTGCAATGTACATCAATGTGCCAATATTTAAATAAATGTGTAATTATGTTTTCAAAACTATTTATTATCGTGGTTAACAAATAAACCGAATCATGATAACCTATATATTTAATATGCGAAGGATAACGCGTATATTCATTTTGTCAAAATATTTGCGACGCCCAGAAGCAAGCATCAGACAACCCACAAACAATACATATAGTCTTGATCAGCATCAAATCCTAAATCAATGTCTGTCTGTCCGTCTGTCGGTCTATGTAATATCTCTTGTAAACAAACATTCTCCTGGCCGCAAAAATTAACCTATCGACTTCAACTTTGGCGGAAACATTGGAAATTCTGGCACGTCGATTTTTGCTGAAAATGGGTCAAAACCCACCAGACCAAGTCAACTGAGAGCACCTTTGTTTTTCAAAAGAAATAAAAAGAAATTGTTTTTTTGCTCATTACTCATTGACCACGCCTACCCAATATTATAGTATATCAAAATTTAATTGTTTTTTCAATACCTTTATAACTCGTAAAAACCAGCTTCAAAAACTCCATAAAGTATGCAAATTTCAGATTTGGAATACACCTAAACATATCCGCCTGTGTGTCTGTCCATCCAATTGCTTCCACAAACTATGTAATATTTGTGATAAACACTCTTCCGTCGGCGAGAATGAAGATATCGCCTACAAATTTTCGAAGGCGTTTGGAATTAACGTAAACTTTTCAAAGGACACGCCCATAACACCCACATGCCACTTTGACAAAAAACTTTATTTTGAAAATGGAAAAAATCATCTGCGCCCGCTCCACAGTATAAAATACGAAAATTTCGTTCTTTTACATGTTTTTGCGGTAAACAGTGATGGGTATAAAAGATTCGGTCCTAACTGCATTTAATTTTCTTACTTGTTTAGCTTAACGTTGAAAAAAATAAACAAAAATCTGAAAAAAAAAGTCATAGAAATACGAATCAATTTAGTTGAACGTTAATGCAATATATTTATTTTCAATTCCAACGTTAATAATTTTACGTTAAGGTTACTTTGCGTTCAAAGTATTTCAACGAACCTCCTTAAAAAAACATATAAATCGCGGATTGAGGCATAAATATTTATGATAAATAAATTCGAAAAATTTATTTTAACGAAAATACTATCAATTATCATATTAGTAAACGATTACGGAGAAACCACAAAATTATAGGGTTTTCATAATCAAATAAGCGACACCAATAACAATAACAACGGTGACAACAACAGCAACAGCAATAATTTTTCATTGAAAATATTCTAAATAAAATCACTGGTCTTTTGCAGATAGATTTTAAACCGTTTTTAAAACTTCAGTACAATCAGGTCTCGTGCGATGACGGACAACTTAAAAGAAGAATTGGATAAATCCAGCTTGTCCCATCAAAAAATTTTAAAACATTTAAGAATAATTTCTTTAACCGTGGGTGTGGACATCCGTCAACCAACCAGATTCTGGAATCCACTCAAAATGTAAGTTTGACGTCGTCACCAACAAAAAAAATCGAACTAAAATAATCCCTAGTGAAAATTAAGTTCTTAACTCCTAGAAAAGTTCTTATTATTACTTCAAAGAGAGTGACAACCGAAAGTGTATATCAACTTGATTCTGAAATTTACACAACATTCGTAATAAATTCGTATATTGACCGAGCTACGCGAATTCGGTGACCACTTGAGTATAATTTTTGACCAGGACATTCGTTTCTGACATCAAGCGTGATTTAAATCTTTTGAAGCGGAATAATAGGTGCTTTCATGTATTCTGATCATTTGTTCACTTGAAAAAGGCATTTGTTGAGAAAAATTGATATACTAATCAAAATATCTCGCATCATTTTCTACAACTTTTTACCATCGTTCTGACAACATGGCGACACTGTATCAAATGAGCGATATTGGTTCTGCTATGAGTAATGAGTGCACTGGGTACGGCGAAACTTCCTATTTGACCTGCAACAGTGTACCCTCGGCAACTCTTACAACGTGGTGCTGAGCGTTGTCGTGAGAGGTCAATAGGTTCATTTTTCGGCGGAAATCTTGCATGATCGGAAACTATCGGAAATCTTACATGATCAAAAACTAACGGGAATCGCCCATGAGTTCAAAAACTTGCAGTTCAAAAGTTGCACAAAACTGTCCTTTTTTTGCCTGGCAAGCAATGAAACTGCCATAACGATTCTAAATGGCGTTTTCAATAAATTTGTATAGTCGTCACTTTCCCATCTTTTAGATCTTGCCAATCACATGTAAACATTTAGAAACAGGTGTTTCATCAACTGCTAAAAGCTGCTTCAAAGTTCTTTGAGAGTTCTGGCTAGGTTTTCATTCAACAAGTCTTGCAATTCATTGTTTTCAAAGATTTTTGGTTCCCCAGACCGCTCTTTCTTACTGACATCGAAAGCACCTCTTTAAAATTGGTTAAACGAAAACTGACAATTGAGATAAGATGGAGCAGCATCGCCATAACTTATTAAAAGTGGTCGATAGGCTTCAACGGAAGGTCCGGTCAAATCAAACCACAACAAGCAAAGAATATCGACAAATCAGTTTTGAGTGTTCCATGATTAGCGTCTGTGTACGCTGAACAACACAACAATATTGAATGGAAAAATGGACCAAATCATCGAATTTACGTTGAAATTTTGCATTACTTCATCATTTTCAGCAATGCATGTCGCGTATCAAAATATATGGAAGCATCTGATATGTTTTGTCGACGATTAGGGAGTAGATACCTTTGAAATTCAAGCGCCACAAGGAACTGAAACCAATATGGGCTAAAGGAAAAAAGAAAAAAAACAACTAAGTAATCAGAGGCGCTTATAAAGCCTATTAATATGCTCCGGCATTATGAGTGCTAGACACATGATACACCAAGCCAAGTGCTCGTAACTCAAGCGGATTAATAATGTGTCACTGATTTAGTTTTCAATTATCCCGCATTATGAAAAATTTCCATATCAATTTATTAAAATTTATATTTTAGAGTGACTACAGCTTTGATTGTGAGCGGTTTTGTAGGCCTCATAGCCGTTTACAATTTTATTCGTAATAATTTAAATGAATCGATTAACGTTTATGCGGATGTAAGTACATTTTTCAAAATTAATTTATCTTAACTCGACTGTTTTTCTGTTCTGTTTTCAGTCCCTTCTTATATCGATGCAGATCATTATATCGAATATAAAATTAATACATTTAATCTTTATGCAGCATGAGTTTTACAAAGTTATCAAGCAGGCTGAAAATTCTGACATCATATTAAATCTAAATGAGTTCGGAATAGGTAAGTGTTAGTTTATGTCAAGCGTTCTTTAACACACATACGTGTGTAGAGACATTTAAGTAGCAATTATCAAAGAATGAATTAAATGTAGTCGGAACGATATAATTAAATAATGTTTTACAACTTCGCTACATTTGCCTCTTTCTCCATCCCCGAATTCCAAAGGAAATGTGATCTTAAGCTACCAGTTATTTGAAATAAGTTTTTATCCGAGCGAATATCATCGATCATTATAAATCGTTGATCTGTTACGAAGGATTTGAGACCAGAAATTGCATTCTCCTGTGACCGAAAATAGTTATTCAAAGCATTATCCATCGCTAGCTACTCAATTGTTCCGTATTTCTGACAAAATACTAATTTCGTGCCGAAAGACCCAATGACTTTTTGAGACCGTCTACGTAGGTACCAATCTTTCGAGTTCGGTCGTACGGATACGCAGACAAACCAAAAGCTATCGACTGGAAAAGGTATCAAAGGTGATAGGGCATTTCAATTCATTGCTGCCAGTGTTCTCGCGGGAAAGGTGAACATTGTCATGCGAAAAAGCCAAAGCTTAATATCTCCCCATACATTGCGATCGTTTTCCGCTTAATAATCGATTCAGTTTCATCATTTGCAGTTGGTAACTCTCGCCAATGAGGGAGAGTTCGTTATTTACGAACACACCAGATAATCGCGTTCAATGAGAATGCGGAGAATATTCGGCATGACCAGCGATACCACCAACGAACTCTCTTATCTGTAGCGGTTTCGTTTTCGTCAATATTATAAAATAAATTATATCTAGTTTCCATCGTCTGCCTGGAACCGTTATCGTGCTCTTCTATAAATGCAAATGAAAAGGTAGCATTTCTCGCGCTTAGCCTTTTTTGTGATAAAACTCGAGTTATGAAAAGTCCCATTACTCGGCAACATAACCTACATAATCGCCTAAAACTGCAAATGCCCGTATTCAAAATAAATTCTTCTTCTTCTACTACTTTATATATGTATAATTGATGATGTTATCCTAAATGACGTAGCTTCTGACATTTTGATAGATAAGGGTATTCATAGATATATTGCAGAAGGAGAGAAAAAATACAGTCAAACCTGTTTTTGTGCGGTTTTTTTTATGCGCTTTTTTTTGTGCGATTCTTTTTGTGCGAATCTTTTTTTGTGCGATTCTTTTTGTGCGATTTTTTTTTTTGTGCGGTATATGAATATCGACACATTGAATTTCGCCGAGAGGTTAGGTCTATCTGAACTGTGTTGGCATCACTTTTTTTGCTATCAGTGTGTATGTACACATTGCAACAGCCATTTTCATACCTATTGCATCAGCCTATTTCATGAGGCATGCTCAATGTTCTTATGCATATATTGCAGCAGCCAATTTCAATACATACTACATGTTAACAAAAAATAAATCAACTGTAGTATTTTCAAGTGACGAAAGCGATTACGAACCAGTTCATCGCAAAAATATGCGCGTTTTGAACTACGACGAGTAGTACATATTGAATTATGTACATTTTGAAAATTTCTCCTTGTTTAAAATTAGAAATTAAAATTTTTTTAAATGTTTCAATGTGTAATTTAATTATTTATTTTTTTTGGAAAGCACTTTCTTGCTATTTCGTAAGCCTTTGACATATTTTCTAAGTGAGACTTTTTTTATGCGGTCCCTCTCTACCGCATAAAAAATATTTTCTTTAATATGCTGTGAAAAATTATTTCTTATAGCTATTTATGAAGTTTTTGAATATTTTTTTTTTGTGCGGTTTTTTTCCTGCGGTCCCTATCAACCGCACAAAAACAGGTTTGCCTGTATACATAATATTACACATATATCGATTGGCTTCCGCTCATTTAGATGGAACCCTAAGAGAGTGGGCAATCAGGCTTACTGCAACAAACCGTTCGCAAAACGATTTTACTCAAGCGTTGGAGTAATTGAAGCCCGACAATGAGAACATTGTGCTGCGTCGATATATTTTAATTCACCTAAATTTCTTAAAGAATTTGCTGATCTTCTTTATGTCACTGGGAAAAAATAGTTTAAAAAACCAATGCAATTAAAAATCGTGGTAGATAAAATGGAGCAGAGGCAAAGCATTTAGTCGTGCAATCCGATCTTGATTAGGATGATCCCACGCCGTGAACGATCCGATCATCCGGGTATTGCCTTGGGCTCATTATCTATGTTTAGAAACATCCGATATTTTTCAAGAAAAATTTTAATTTTCTCCTAAGAACTGTTAGCCGCAAATCGGTACACAGTGGCATTTCAATCACATACATAAATATTTCAATACACATCCATAATCGGTTAGAAACAATACGGCTAAAGACTTGTATAATATTTTTCTCTTCTCCTTATTTCTTTAGCTACAAATGGGCAGAAAAAGTTAATGCAAAATATCAAGGACATCCTTAAGGATTCATGGCAAGATATTCACCGACAATTAAGGTTTTTTATTTACAGTTGCTGTGCTATCGTTGGCTGGTATTGGTTGGTTGCTTTGGCTCAAAACATCCATGATCTTTATAAACGTCCAGAATATTTTACTGTAACTACAAGTAAGTTTACAAAAAACAAATACGATAGTTGGATTCGGCGGTGACCGAATCTCGTATACCAACCACTATGTTCTTCGCATTCTACTCTCTAAGTTCTTTTATTCGATGTCGCTGATAAAAAAAAAAATGGACCCATTTTCAGGCAGATAGTATATCTCCATTTTTGAAGAATGTACAAAATAATTTTAAACATATTGTCTTGCTTGCGTATAAGCATAAAACCTTAAAAAATGTGAAAAAAAGTACTTCAATCGCTTATAACTTTGTGTAGGCATGGCCGGTTTTTTTCCACTTTTACACTTTTGTAAAGAGTAGAGTATTTCGCAAAGTTAACGTGGACAATGTCAGCCTTTTAACTTTTATAATCTCTGAATAACGAGCGAAAAACCCACAAATTTTTGTTAAGAAAAATGGAGATGTGTTCAGCTTATTCTGCCCTGCGGCCTTCTGCTCTAACCAATTCCAATATCATCCTACGTGCAAAAGCTTCCAATATTTTTTATCAAATTTGAAGTCGATATTTTCATGTATGCGACAAGAAGAGTAACAACAACAAACACCACACAAACACATAGACGGACAGATGGATAGATATGCATTACGAAAAGAAACAAAATGAGTGTAATCCCATCTTATAGGTGTGGGAATAATAAGAAACTTTTATATAGTGGCTTCCAAAGACCAGCAAATACAAATCTGATGGGTGATTACAAAGTGACACGAAAGGGGATCTCGCTCTGCAGTCGAATATATAAACTTTACAGGATGGCTAATATTAAGTTCGAAGTGTTCCAAACAGATTAACGAAATTAATACGCTTGATAGTAGATATAATAAGTAGAGTAACTTCATTCTACTACCTATTGGATAATGGGTATAATGATAAGAGAACATTTTATAAAACACATTATATAACAAATACATTAAATTCATTTTGAAGCATTTCCTGTAAAATATCCACATTGGATTAGTAAAGGTCCTATGTTCATTATTCATCCCGTGCAATACATAAATAGTGCGGCATGCAATCACATATCAGGTTTCGGTAAGATTTGATTTTATAACAATTGATTGAATTGAAATAATGTTACAATAAAACTTTTCCTCTACCCGTTTGTTAGGGGCCGTTTGCTATGATGGTATATACGTAGTTCTGGTGGTACATTGTGCAGCCTTGGTACACCTTTTAAGAGCATTGGTTGAACATTCTACCACAAATGAAGTTCCACAAGCGAGAAGAGTTCAATATATATTGGGTTGCATCAAATTCTATCAAAAAATATTTGAGTAAATATATATGTATATGTATATGTATATATATATATAGCTTATTTATCATGTATACTACGCCACATCAAGAACTTGATAATCAAATATGAACGAATTTTGTATGTTTTAAAGCGTTCAAAACTATTGAAATGAGATAGAGCCGCAGCAGAGCAGCCACTTGTTAGGGGTATTTTTACCCTCAGAAAGGGCTATCTATATACATTTTATATACTCAATAATTGGATGAAGGATTTTGTTATACAATGCGGCTACTCTCGGATACGTTTTATGTCCGTGAGGAAAACCTCCATCCTCCACTTGTCTTCTCTTTCAAATATGTCTTCAATTAAAGAAATATCCGTGAAAGCAGTGATTATATCAATTTCGGAGTCAATAACTTTCGATTTATATTTAATGCGATAAATGCTGACTCATATGACGATTTACTTAAGAAGACAAGTCATTGTAACCGAGTTGCTTTTGGAGCTTTGTCCTTCTTGTCTTTTCTTGAAGCGTTGCGTGCAAAAAATCGAAATTTCAAGAGAAAAACCTTTCTTTCAAGCAAGCAATTTTCTTCCACATATTCGAGAAGATTCAAAAGATCTATTAAGCCATCAAAAAACTAAAAGATGATTTTCTCAAAAATTTCCGGCAACTTGTCCGTTTAAGTACTTTGCAAAATTCATAATTTTTCAGTGGTGTAGGGTAATAAACGATCGGACCTGATCGATCATTTGTAGGATGCATTTATATGATTGTACTTTCTACTTTTAGATTCTATTCGTCGATCGACGGCTTGTTTCGCACCGTGAACTTAACCCAATATTGTATAAATGCAATTATATTATGCATGATCATATTTCAGGCTAGTATAGGTTTGGAAGCTGAAGCAAGTCTGGTTGTAAAAATGTTTTTATATTTAATGGCTATTAGTTTCCAAAATATTATGTATTGTTATAATGGGGAAAAATTGATTACGCAAAGCAATTTATTACCTACAGCTTGGTATAGTTGCTGTTGGTATAATGAATCGGCGGAATTAAAATTTTTGATACGAATGATGATCTTAAGAACTAATCGAGCTCTTTACATGAAAATGTCGGGCTTTAGTACAATGTCTCTGATGACCATGTTAACGGTAAGTAAACAAAGGTATTACATCAAGTCTCCTAACCCGCATTTGAGAAAAGCAAACGTAATTTATTTTTTTAGTTACGGCCTTATACACTACAAACTAGCTCCACAAAATTATGAATGCGATACGTCCTCTGCACACAAAAAATATTTATTTCCGACTAAAGTGTCGATATCGTATAAGAATCCATTAGATCTCTTAGTTTTTATAGGGCAGAGAAGTACAGATAGCGAGATGTATTTGAATTTCAATGATAAGAGCCAAACTCTAAGCCCTTTATGTTAGAACATATATTTGATATTCTTTAATTAACTCGTTTAACTTCGGTCGTCGGTTTTTACGCTTCGCAATTTATTCAATACTCAGTTATCATTTTTATATTAACTTACAACAAAGTCTTAAACTGAGAGTTAAAGAACCGTTACTTGTTGTGTATAACATCGTCTCTCTTTTAATGGGATAGAACAAGTATTAGTTTAAAAGAGAATGCTGAATCAGTGAACAGTGTGTGAAGTATTTTAAATTATTACCCACTAAGCACTGAGTAACCAGTGATTAAGTAAAGCGTTTTTGGTAAAATCGAAATTTAATTATAACAAAATGGCAATATCTATCTTATTCAAAGTAATATCGATCGTTAGTCAAAATTTTAACATATTTTTTAATTGCATTAGAATTCTGTCCTTTGAAGCCGTTTTTTTCATTACAAAGATCCATTTTTCCACAAGATATTCGTAAGAGTGGACGACCTGCTTAGAGAGTCTATCGTTAAAACATTCAATCAAAAGGGGAAATGCCTGGTGACTACGATCGGAAAGAGTAGCGTATACCGAGTCTTACGATATCATATCGTGTTTGATCGTGGTAAGGAACAAGTTTTGTCATAACTTTTGACATATTGTAGACATTTTGCCGTTAATTACGGGCTCAGTTGGTGATGATAATGTTACTCATTAATATTTTCGTTGAGTTGGAAGTCCGTATGAATGATTCTTGTTAGCACCAAGAGAAAAATGAACTTTTATTTCGGAAACGCTGGCTAAATGACCACCGCGTCCGACGACCGTGGGATCTTTCTATTACAACAGCTAACAACACTAATTGCACTGGTGATTTATCACCTTTTACGGCTTGTGTCAACGCCGGGACGATCCTCTCAAATATAATATGGGTTGGATGGATGGGTAGGATGGATAGAATGGGTCAATGGTAATAGTTGCTCTGGTTTGTATTTTAATTTTTTTTACTCTTCAAGGCTCAGCCGCAATTCTCTTCGATTTAATAAAAGAATCACTACTGATTTTTTGATCGAGTTTTTTTTTCCATAATTTTTGGCATAAAACTCGTCGTACTCGAAGCTTAAAAAACCAATTTTGTATACACCTGATCATACAGCCTGTGACACAAAGTGTAAAGCTACCACTTTGACGTGGAGCGGATACATTTCCATGAAATACAGTATAACCTTATTCACCTTATTAAAAACACTTATATAACTTTATATTAACGAAAAGATTTTCCTTATATCAGGTTTAACAATATTTTTATATATATTAGAGTTTTGCATATTTTGTGCTATTGAAGATGAGGATGGAGGACAACTTTGAAATAATTTTACACAAAGAAAAGAATTTGTCCCTTAAACATAGAGTATTTGACACAAACAATAGGTTAGAGCAGGCATAGCGCAGTAAGTCTGAAAAAAAATTTTTTTTGATAATTTAATACTAGCTTCCGTTACAAAGGAAGGTAAATGCATAGAAGTGTATTCAAAATTTCTAAGCAGTTTCAAAATTATCCTCGCCTTGCTTTTCTTATATCCGCATGACACTAAGACTGAATAATGTTCATTCGGTAAAGCAGAGAAATGCACGGAAAGAGTCTTTTACGCGGTCATCGGCTAGGATATAAAAACAACGGCAACGGCGCACTGCCAATTTCTCTTGATAGAACGAACATATAAATGAAAGATATGAATGCTTTAAGATCAAGCTTTTATTGAAAACAAAACCGCCAAGAGTGTGTAGTGTACGCTACAAATTGAATGAATAATAAGTCAGTATACAGTCACTTCAAAATCTAATCACCACTGTGGATATTTATCTTCATCTAAAGTGCATTAAAGTGCTTTGCCAAAAAAAAAAGAAAAATCGACATTATCTATATAGAGATGATCTTCTTCTTCTTTTATCTATTACCGAGAAAAGCCCGCATTGCGGCACATATAGAGAAGAGACCTCTAAAAAAGTATAGACTTATAGAATATTTAATCATTGTGAGGGTTTAGGCAATTTAGTCCACCCGTCCGTCTCTTCGTCATCACAAACCCGAAGTGTATATGTGTCTTGTGATATGATGTTCGAAGTTCTCTCTTTCTTTTTATATACAAAAATATTACGAATACTTCTCATTCTAACGTCTTATATTTACCTTATTGTAAACCTTTTGCAGTTATATCAGACAAGTAGCTCTTATTTTTTACTCTTGAGAAACGTCAGTGCGGATCGATGAAAGCTTATGCCGTTCAGCTCTAGCAAAAGTCAAATTACTAATGATTTTGTGAACTTGTTCTTCATATAATTTGCATTTTTAGTTCGTACGTACTCTTGTTCAAATAAAGTTAAATTTATTCTGTTCGAAAAATTCGAGACGATTTTTTATTACTTGATTTGTGGATTCTAAACACCAAGTACTGTAGACGCATCATGCAATGGAAACGAATTCTATGAATGATTCTGCGACTGTAACATGATAGGTGCAGCAATTACTGCTGGCATTTAAATGTGCCCCAGCAATAAATGAAGCATACCCAAACCATAATCATAGACGCACGCACACACAAATCCACACAAACTTGACCTAACACATCAAACGTTACTCGTAATCGTAAAATGCTTACGCAATGAGACTTAAGTAATAGCTGCTGCCACAACGATTCGTGTGCACCAGCAAATCTAGACTAACTCAGATAAAGGCTGAGATAAAAACCAACTATCGACATCCTCACAAGACAGCACAAGTATATATTAATTAGATCTATCTGCTATATGATAGGAATTTGTTTTTGTTTTCATTTTACATTTTATATTAAGATTTTTACTATAAAATTTTTACGATGAAAATTTGAAAGCAAAACGGATGATAGGCGAATCAGAACGCTCAGAATGGTAAAGATAACAAGGAAACTAAGCCAAACTAGCGCTTCATTGAAAAAAAAGACTTTACTAAGACAGATGCTTGCCAGAGAACCAGCTCACTGTAAGATAGTTAGAGCAGTTTCTTAGCAAGTCCATGAAGACGACTACTCACTTGACCATGATCAGCCGTGAGACAACTTCAGTTCACGGCCAAGTGAGATGTACCTCGTTTTCGCGCTAAAAAACCTTTAGTATATGCTCATTACACCAACGAACTAATTTATTACTTACCACAGCCGTTAAGTTGTAACGGCAACTTGTATCGGCTTAATCGCGAAACGGTTCGAATAACTTGAACGGCACAAAGTTATGAAGGACGTTTGAAGAAATAAATAAAACCATGAGCCCTAATAACTAATTAAAGTTGTATTCGAAAAGACGGTATTTTCCGCAATGAGATACCGAAAGCAATAACAATTTTTCCGTTTACCATTAAGCCTACAAAGTAATAGCTTAAATTTGTCCTGCGAAAACATGGGCCCGTTCAAATTGGTATAAATTAAAGCGCAGTAAGTACCATAGCCAAATACTTCTACATTTCACATTTCAACGACCAACAGAAAAAGAAAAAGAAAAAAAAAAGAACAACAATTTCAAATATGTCTATAAAATAGCATGGCCTAAGATTGTCGGAAGGCGTGCAAACTAACACACTGAAAACATTCCCATACATATACAAGCACAAGCAGGCAATGTCATTGTGATTTTTCCTAATTATACGATGCAATTAAGATCATTTCAAGTATTCTTTAATTTTTATAATATCACCTTATATCACCCTATAGTTTAAATTTGAATTTTGAAAGAGAAAGCCAAAGGTATTTAAAGAATATGTGATTGCATTGCGCTATCAAAGGTAATGGTAAGAAACCCAGTTCTACACAACGAAGAAAGGTGTTCCACGAACACATCTACACATCTACTATTAATTAAAGCAATAAAAAATATTTAATAATTTGAAACTTCTTGCCGAAATGCAAAACCGTGGGAATAGAACATAACATTCTGACATTTAATGATCTCCAGGCATAATTGCTTTTTCGCGTATGCATTTCCTTTTTAATTAAATATATCTATATACACCTAATTCTCGTTTTACACGAATATTTTTAACACGAATTATACCGGGAAAATTCTCTTTTTAAACGAATTTGTTTAACACGATTTATACCGGGAAAATTCTCTTTTAACACGAATTATTTTGCTTTAACACAATTTTCAATATTCTATGCATTTTTGTTTCTTTGAACGTTTTATGAATTTTTTCAATCCCACTCCTCACACGTACGCATTGTAACTTTGCGTTATATTTGTCACAATTTAGTTATGTTATGTCGATTGTATACGTATATGAGTGGCACTTCCCCAATTAGCCATAGGGGCAAGATTTGGTGTAGTTTTGGTGTAATTTAGTTTGATTTTTCAAAACACAATTTATTTTTATATTCATCACGGACGGATAAGGTGTCAAAACGTATGCTACGCCCGGAAGAAGCTCACCCCCAAGGAACCCACAAAATATATATATTATTAATGAGCACCAAATTTTGAATCGATTCAAGCATGTCAGTCTGTCGGTATACGTAATGTCTATTGTAAACATTCTCCTGGCCGCAAAAATTAACTATCGACTTCAAATTTGCTAGCAGTAGTGAAAGTTCACGCACACAGGGTGGTATTGCAAATGGCGTAGATCGGTCAAAGGACACGCCCACGTAAACTGAGAATACCTCCGTTTTTCAAAAGGAATGAAAAACTTGGTTTTTTGCTCTTTACTTATAAACTACAGCAAATAAATATAAAATTTGAAACCATATTGTATGGGCGATGCGGTAGCATCTATGCAGAGAAATGGAAAGAATTGACCACACCTAGCCAATATTATAGTGTATTAATATTTAATTATTTTTTCAATACCTTTATAACAAGAAGATATAAGCTTCAAAAAACCCCAAAAATTATACAAATTCTTTGGCCAGTTATAACTCTTGAATGCGCCTAAACATGTCCGCCTGTTCGTCTGTCCATCCAAAATTTGCAAAAGAATTTGGAATTGATCTAAACTTTTCAAAGCACATGCCTACAAAAGCTCACATGCCTCTACGGCAAAAATTTTATTTTGAGAATAAGAAAAATCAACTGCGCCCGCTCCATATTGTAGAGCATGAGAATTTTATTCTATTACTTTTTTGTTTTTTTTGAGGATAAACGATGATGGGTATAAAAGATTCGGTTCCGACTGAAATTAATTTTCTTACTTGTTTTTTTTTTTTTTTGTTTTTGTTTTAGGTCGCAAACGAATCTACTATTTTTCCATTTAGCCAATATCTTATTTTGCACGAATTTTTCGGGAACGCATCTATCGTGGAAAAAGAGAATTAAGTGTGAATATATACTTTTTGAAAAACTTATTAAAAGCCATTTTTTTTTTGTTGTTTTCAAATTTTATACAAAATCTTCAAACCTTTCGCATTAGCAGCTAAGGAAAGTCACATTTTCATTCAAAATAATAAAGAGATAACAAGTCCGAAATGTTAATAGAAGTTTTAAAAACTGAACAAGAATTGAATAATAAAACGTTGAAAAATTTATATAAAATTTCTTTTATGACTGGAGTTAATATTAAATACAAAACCGATTTTAAGGATCCAATAAAACTGTAAGTTAATAACAATAAAGGAAAGCAAGTTCTGCCTTAGCTTTAAGGGGAACCCTTAATATCTATCATCAAAGATTATTACATCTGTTGTCAATCTTCTAAAGGTATTTACACGTAAAAAGATAACACCACCCTTCAACTATGAACACAGCTGCGATTTTGCAAACCCTTTTTTTTCTAATTACGATTAGCAGGGCTTTCGAAATCATTAGCACTTAATGGTTTGATCTTAATCGTAAGCATTATAGAGAACATTTTTCAAGATAACAGGGAAAAAAAAAGTGGAACGGAACTGTGAAAATGGAACTTTCCTATAAATTACTCGCTTCCCATCACCGAAGGATAATGAATGGGTTGATGAATTTTTTCAAAACGTTTGCAACGTCCAGAAGGAAGCATTAGAGATCCCACAAAGTATATATATTCTTAAACAGTATCAAATTTTGAATCGATTTAAGCATGTCCGTCTGTCCATCTGTGCGTAGTCTTTTGTAAACACTCTCCTGGCCGTAGTAATGAAGCTATCGACTTCAAATTGGCCAGAAACATTGGAAGTTCTTGCACGCAGGTTGGTATTGAAAATGGGCCAAATTGGTCGCAAGGCACGCCTACAGTGCTACGTGAAATGAGGACAACTGCATTTTTCAAAGCGAATAAAATTTTAGTTTTTGGATCGTTACTGATAAACCGTAACAGATAAACGTACGAAAATTTGAAAGCATATTTTATGGGCAGTGCTACAGCATCTGTGCACAAAAATGGAAGACATTGACAATGTCTATCCAATATTATAGTGTACCAAAATGTAATGTTCTTTCAGTTCTTTCATAACGAGCAGAAATAAGCTTCAAAAGCCCCATTAAATATACAACTTCCCGAAAGAGACCTAAACTTTTCAAGGCACATAAACACTTATTTTGAAAATAGAAAAAATCAGCCCCGTTCGCTCCGCATTATAGAGCATGAAAACTCTTTTACTTTTTTTAGTGATGGGTTTCGGTCTTACTTGTTGTCTTCTCTTTTCCTTAAAAAAATTAATTATCCTTGTAATTTAAAGTACAATTAAATTGTGTTAGATTAGTCTTAGTTGCACCGAGACAACGACTGTTATGAAGTCTATGGATATATTGTATACACTTGATAGGTGGGCAGTATCCAAAACATTAGACCTTAGACAGGAAAATAATCGAATTATAAAAATGTTAATTTTAAAATTGGCTCAAATCGCCTGCAATACAACTACAACGCAATATACGACTGACACCATCCTGCGCAAATGCATTTTTCTTAGTTTCATTAAAGATAAGGAGTAGTGCTCAGACTCTTTAAAGAATTCAATAGATGCAAAGCGCTATACTGGAAATAGCAATAATAATTTCAATAACAGGAGATCAGACGGAGTCATATTACATGGGGTTGGCCATGCGGTTGGGTGATTAAAATGTCCGGAATGTCCGCAATCAGCTATACATGAATCTTCTTGATATTGTCCATAGCTCCATCATTCGTAGTCATCGAGTTTTAAGATTCATTTCCATGTTTTCCATACATGCTCTAAAAACATTTTCCGCGATCGGGTATGTGAAACTTATTTCGAAAAATCAAACTTAAGGCAAGTGAATGCTGCTATTACACGCTATGTTCACTGAGTCCAAATGGTAATCTCTAACCTAAAATTGAGAAGAAATAGACGAATTTGGACACAGGGAATCACATGATCTATCCCTAATTGTTTTTATAAAATGGAGACGTCTTTGAAATCAGCTGTGCGACATTATCTATGTATGATATTAATTATTTGTACCAAGTTGCAAATAACTTGCCCTCAGCACAATGAATAGAAGAACTAAAGCCAAAAATTGAACAACTCGATTTCACTTGAACTGTAACTGTAAGTGTAACTACTTGTGCATAGTTCATCATGATCTCACCGTTTTGTTTTTAATTAAGATTTCACTTTCTTATTCATCGGCTGATCTGATTGTATTGACATTCAATTGATCTATAAGGAACAAATTTGCTATGGCTAGGATAAGTTTAGCGGTTTACCAGATATTCCTTCATCTCTGAAGTTCTTTGATCTTGGGACTCTATTGAAATTTGTAACTTACCGTTGTTAGATCCGTACGGCACTATTAGAGGATATTTAAGCCAGGTCAGCTAACATACGTTTCGTGCAAAATTCAAGTTAACCAGATCTTTTATTCTAGAATTTTGAACGGTGACAGCCTTTATCATTTTATGGATCCATTTAATTGTTAGTAATTTATATTATTTGACTAAATAAATACACCTATCACACACACGTTCTTATTGGTGCCCTTGACCCTTAGAAAAGATAATAGGTGCCGTTGATTTCTCAGTACATCACGAGTTCCCCTAATTAACCTTCCAACTAGACTTAGACATAGAACGGAGAACGGAGAACGGAGAACAGAGAACTCGGTTCCCGATTCCCCCTTCTTTTTCTTCAATTCGAAAGCGGAAGTGCGGATGCTAGTTAGCCGAACAAGCCATATCTCAATTCGAGATCAACTTATGCTGAAATCGAGTATGATCCCATAATCTGTCTGACTGCTTTGAGCATAGCTAACCCTATACTACGAACTTAACATCAAGAATATTTAAAGGCATTTCTTTTACTAACTTATAGTACCGGTGGGACCAAAATGCGAGATCATATCGCTTGAGATTTTATATGCAATTTATAAGTATTTCTAAAAATTACAAAAGTATCCCTCGATGATGGATAGAGCATAGCATTAGTGTGATAGAAAATATAAAAAAATCGGTTTATTTATTTTTTAGTGTTAACTTATTTCTAATAACAATTTCTTTGATGGGCTTATGTGCTCAATATTGCTTGGTATGGCACAATCGTCACGAATCTTTCGTCGAGTCTGCCGATGTAAGTTTCTCTTATTAATTTTTATTATCTATTATTAAAATAAAAAATTCTTCCTAAGGCCATTTGTACCGCCAATCAAGCTTGGATATCCATTTTTAAACTGATATATCTTGTGTTTGTCCAGCACAAGTTCTACGATCTTTTGCATGCGGCTACCGATGGTAATCTATTGTACGACTTAGGAGTCTTTGACTTGGGTAAGTTTGAAAAAAAAAAAAATAAATAAATAAAACCAAAACGTATTCATCTTCAATCATATCTCAATCTTGAATACTCATCACCTCAACTTTTTCATTAATCTTTCGAAGAGCCAATGATAAATTTTCACTTCGCTTTAATAAATTTTTGAAATAATTTTGCAAATTCACTTTCGCTTCATAATGCAATTGATGATCGGAAATGCATTGAAAAGTTTCGCAGTTTTCTTTTTTTTTGAAGTTCGTTCGAAGGTCGTTTGGAAATTTTTTTAAATTCGCGATCATCTTTATAGGCAGATTGATGGATTCTCCTCCTTGTCATCGTAATTTCTAGGCCGCTTACTATTTCAAATATACGCATATGCACACACATACTAGATAATGAGAATGCTGCAAGCCTAATTAACTCCACTGAAATTATTATGAAATATATACGAGAAAGTGAATTTTTTAAAAAGACATTCATTCGATTATATGCTTATCGTCGCGATCACAAATCGCATAAGTTGACGTTAGCGTATTTCAACTTTGACGATGATCGAATGAATCATTAGAATAGATAGAATTAGGCGGACCATCCAACTCAAATTTAGAATGAAGATCGTGATATAACCTCAAAAAATGCAAATGATACCACTGTGTAGGTCTTCGGTCTAGGTTCTGGTGATGGGTATATTTGGATTAAATTGAATGCTTTCGAGATAGAATATTCTTTTACTTTTGAAAATTTTCCAGCCATTAACTGCAAGGAGCAATTATTAAAAGAGGTTAAGGGTATCTTGCGCGACTCATGGTTGGATATACGAAGACAATTGAATTTCTTCACATTCTCATGTATGATGGCCTGCGGTTTTTATATGTTTTCCTGTTTATTTGTTAATTACTACTATATGCATATAAATCCTCAAAATTTTACTTTGCAATTGCGTAAGTTCTTTCTCAATATGTATTACGCTAAAATAATAAATTATTTATTTTTATATAAATGCATCTATTTATTTAACTATCTATTTATGCAATTATGTATACATATTTAAATGCATTTATTCATGCGATTATTTAAGTAATTATTGATGTATGTATTTATCCGCTTACGGTTTCATACCCATCACCGAAGGACGAGAGGTGTATTCATTTTGTCAACCCGCTTGCAACGTCCAGAAGAAAGCATTATAGATCCCGTAAAGTATATATATTCTTGATCGCCATCAAATTCGAATTCAATTTAAGCATGCCCATCTGTACGTCTGTCCGTCTGTGTAATGCCTGTTGGCGGGCAAAATTGAAGCTATCGACTTCAAATTTAGCAAAACCAGTGAGAGTTCTTGCACGCAAGTTGGTATTGAAAATTGGCCAAATCAATCGAAGGATACGGCCACAGTACCACGCAAACTGAGAACACATCTGTTTTCCAAAGGGAATGAAAAATTAGTTTTTTGCTTATTACTCATAAACTATAGAAAATAAATGTACAAAAATTTTAACGCATGTTCTATAGACGATGCTATGGCATTTGTGTACAAAAATGGAAAAAAATTGACCACACCTACTCAATATTATGGTGTATTAATATATAATTATTTTTCCAATACTTTTATACCGCGTAGGCACAAGCTTCGAATTTGGAATTGATCTTAACTTTTCAAAGGACACGCTTACAATGCCCACATGACTCTACGGCAAAAATTTTATTTTAAAAATAGAAAAAATCAATTGCGCCCGCTCCGTATTATAGAGCATGAAAATTTTGTTCTTCTATTTTTTTGTTTGTTGGTTTTTTTGGGGGTAAACGGCGATGGGTATAAAAAGTTCGGTTCCAACCGAATTTAATTTTCTTACTTGTTGCTTTTATTTTCGTTTTTATAAATAAGCAATGCCGGCCTTATTTCCCATGTGGCATGATTACGGTATGACTTGGCCTTACTATCCAATACAGTATATTATTGTCGGTATTGAGAATTATATTTGCGGCATGTGTAAGTTTTATATTTCATTTGTATTTGTGTAACAAATTTTATATTTCATTTTTATTAATTCGATTATAAAATTTGATTCAGGCGCTGTTTGCTTTGATGGAATTTTCATAGTCGTTGTAGTACATTGCTCCGCTTTGTTTCAAATTTTACATCAACTCTTGCAGCATGCCACCGATAAGGACATACCACGTTCACAAAGAGTTAAATATCTTTTATGTTGCGTACAATTGCATGAACGGATTTACAAGTAAATGGAAGAATACAATCCTTCTTTCTTAAGATTAATCATATTTTTTTTCGAAATGTATTCAGTTATTATGCGAAAATTAATAGTATGTACAAAAATGCCAGCTTAGCCCAATGCTTGTTAAGTATGTTGGTTTTGTGCGTTGTCATGTTTATGGCTAATGTCGGTCTAGAGGAGGATATCACGTTATTCTTTAAAATGTTATGTTTTCTAATGGCTGCCGGCTTTCAAATTGTTATATACTGTTATAATGGTCAGAAAATTATAACACAGGTGAGTCATTTTTATTGCACTCAATCTCTACCTACGGCCAGATATATTGACATTGAGTGTCTACTTAAGTGAGAAGATTAAATTCGGTCAATAGCGTGTCTTTTATATCCATCAGCCATCAAAAAAGACAAAAGAAGCAAAAGAGGAAAATTCTTCTGCTCCATAATATGGAGTGGGCACAGTTGATTTCTTCTATTTTGACAATAAATGTTTTTGTCATCGAGGCATATGGGCGTTGTAGGCGTGTCCTTTGAAAAGTTCAAGTCAATTGCAAATTCTTATGCAAATTTGCAGAGGATATTTTTACTTTCACAAATACTACAAGATTGAGCAATTAGACTGATGGACAGACAAACAGGCGGACAAATTTTGAGATGCATTTGAATTTATGCGACTTTTGCGCCTTGCTTCTGCGCGTTAGGCCTTAAAAAAAAAACATTAAATTTTAATACATTAATACAAAATATTGGATAGGCATGGTCAATTTTTTATATTTTTTTACAGGTACTACAGCATGGCCCATAGAATATGCGTTCAAATTTTCGTGCGTTTATCTGCTATGGTTTCTGAGTAACGATCCAAAAATCAAAATTTTATTCACTTTGAAAAACACACTCATTTTACGTAATACTGTAGACGTGTCTGGCGACCAATTTGACCCATTTTCAATACCAATATATGTTTCTGCCAAATTTGAAGTCGATAGCTTCATTTTTATGATCAGGCGAAGGTTTAGAATAGACATTACACAGGCGGAGATGCTTGTCAAGAATATATAGACTTTCCCGAGTCGCTAAAACTTCGCTCTGAGCGTTGCAAACGTTCGATGAGGAGTATAAAAAAAACGAAAAAATTACTTAACTTATAACAATAGAAAAGCTTAGGTTATTTCATACAGGTTCACAGCAGTTGACACAAACAAATTCTTCATATATATAACTAAATTCTTTTTCACAAATTTTTTTCCTCTCTCAAGAGTGGAAGGTCTCCTTCATGTTGGTATAATTGCTGTTGGTATAATGAATCGCCACAATTCCAATATATTATTAATATGATGGTTTTAAGAGCTAATCGTACTTTATATTTGCAAGTCTCTGGCTTTACTACGATGTCGCACATGACTTTATTATCGGTGAGTGAACAATTGATTAAAAAAAAAAGATTTTGTTTCACTTTAAATATTTTCTTTAGATTGTTCAGACAAGTGGTTCATATTTCTTGCTATTAAGGAATTTAAGCGGCATGGATTAATTTCCTTCATTCGTGAAGCAGAAAATAAAAATATAGAGTTCCCACTATTAAAGTAATCTTATGACAATTTTTGATTTTTAGATTACGAAATACGGTTTTTTTTAACACTGAAACTACCGATATTTTGCACACGTCTGTCTCTATCGAAAGGGATCATTTAGATCACCTATTTTTGTCGACTTTCGATAGTTGCAAAAATGAAGGTGTTTTTGTAATCAGCCACAATATGGAAAAAACTGAAGCAAGCTCGAAAAAACGTCGAAATCTTTTTCATATTGTTGTCTGTAACTATCGATCCCGTGAAGCTTAAAACCTACGAACCAAATATCCGCCAAGATCATTCAATGAAAATCATATCATATAGCATTAACAAAATTTGCTACATCCCCAGTAGCAGTAACACGTTGACCATATTTCAGCTTTCATACTCCGCTTATAACATACAGAGACGCACTTTAAATATTCGTAAAGCCCTTCCGCAAATCCAAAACGAATGAAATCATGTCTATCTACTGACTTATAACCTATCCTTGAAATGCTGTCCATCCAAAAATGCAGATACAAAACTGAAAATCCAATTGAATATTATTTATTTAAATTCTAACGATATGTTTAAAACAAAAAAATCTCTGCAAAACTTTGGTAACTACATTTTTTAATGCTTCTTTCAATGGCTTACCTATCTTATAGCAAATAGCTGATAAATTTTGGTGAGAAATATTTAAAATTTAACCAAAAAAGAAGCCATAATTGACGACAAATAAAGAAATATTTTGCGATTTCCTTCTATTCGTTTAAGATACGCTATACCTGACATATGTGCGAAAGTAACTTTAGCTCTTTTATTTGCGTCTTAACTTTGTGTAATATGTGGCATATTCAGGGTTTCAGTTCTCTTTCATATAAAATATTACATGAAATATATACAAGTTGACATATTTTATAATTGTTAAAACTTATCTTACCTTTTATTTAACAAGTTTCTCATGCTTTTTCTTCTTTATCGACACTACCGCTACTTAGCAAATGGTGTTGCTTATCATTTAACGCAGTCTTTATGAAATGGAAATTCTTTTGAGTTTAAATATGGTAATGCTATTCTAAAAATTGTGTGTAAGCACACTGACACAAAGGTGCATTATTCCTGTTTTCGGGTTAAAAAGTCATAAGAGAAAATCATAATGAAAAGTCGCACTACCGTATTAATTGATAGGAAAAAGCAAAAACAATGAGGAGTTATTTTCTTTTTCGGGTTAAAAACTTCCAAGTGATAAATACAATGAGCACCGGCACTACCGAATTGTGAATGTGAAACCAACATAAGCCACATATAGAAAGAAATAACAATAAAGAAGTTAATGTAAGAGTAAACAAGCTTGTTCATCAATTAGCGATAAAATAGATTGAATAGATGAAAGATTTTTGTACATTAATTGGTCAACAATTTGGAAATTACCATTTATTAGTGTCTAATAAAACAAATTGATGATATATATTTCAAGTTTAAAATAAATCGTTTTTATTGCTTGTTTTTCATTTCTTACACAATAATGCAAAATTGCAAATCACATAATATAAATAAAAATGTGCATTAGTGAGACAATGCAAGATTATAAAATAAACCAAAATGAGATATATAACTTTAAAATTTAAAAGAAACGATCATTAATCCTTCTTGTAACTTTTTCCTTTTTGTTTTATTTGTATGTATGACATACGAAACCTTATAATCTGTCAATTCCCATAAAGTTTTGAAAAAAGTCGGCAAAATTAAAAAGTCAACCCGTAAATAGGAATAAAGCTTCGTTGTGTTAACTCACGTAGGTCCCTATTAAACGCTTTTAACGTCCCTGAGCTACTTTTTTTGCAAAGAGCGATAAGTCTTTTTCACACTATAGCGCCTATAGTACGTAAACGATACTTTAACTTGTCAATATAAAAAAAAAAAAAAGGAATGGATCAAAAGTTATTGGCTCCAATCAATAAATCTAATCCTATAGTTTTCTTTGATATTAATATCGGTCGGGAATATGGTAAGTGTAAGGACTGGAAGAATGTTTTGCAAAATTAAATGGACAAAATATACCATTTAAAGCCGGTCGAATGGTTATTGAGTTGCGCAAAGATGTTGTACCTAAAACAGCAGAAAATTTTCGTTGCCTTTGTACCGGTGAAAACGGTATCGGTACAATGGGCAGGCCTTTACATTATAAAGGTGTATGTTTCCATAAGATAATGCGAGTATATGTGGTCGGATCTGGCGATATAATTAATAATGACGGCAGCGGTGGCGAGAGTATATATGGGCCTCTCTTCGATGATGAGAATTTCGAATTAGAGGTAATTAGATGTAAGATACCTGCAAACCAGAGACAACAAAATATATAGATGGTCCGGCATTTTATGTCAAAATTAAATCTAGGTGATTATTACGGACTTCTAGTACTTCTGTTATCAATAACAATGTAGTAATAGTAATGGTGTTAATTAACAGGTATTTGACAGCTTGTTCTTTCATTTTCATTACTTGTATGGGCACAGATTCTGTTAATAGCTTTTTGATACGACGTCGAGTTCTCTCAAACAATTGCAAAGCAGAGAAGCATTCAATTACGCGGATTTAGGTGACTATGATATACACATAAGATATGTACGAAAAAAACTAACTTTGAAGAATTCTAAAATGTATGTTCGCCAAATGTTTCGACAAATTTCAATGCAAATTTTCATATCATGAAGAAACTTTTTATTATTAATAAACATTATGTTATAGTTTATTATACGCCACTTTATCTAATTTACTTATTTCTATATTTAATAAATTTATTTGCCTATGCATGTACGTATAACAAATTTTATTCAATTTTCTATATCTAATAAGGAAAAAGGAAAGTTAGAAAATAACTCATAGCAAGATTATGGTCCATGAAGTTATACAATTCAAAATTCGACAGGGCAGGTTTGAATTGTAAAGAGAACAATACCTTTTTGGATTCGGGTTGGCGAGAAGAAATACCAGAGAGTACAAGTAACAAGAGCAAGTAACGATTAAAGAAAGACTTGTGGACGTATACGCACTAAAAGCAGATTGCTAATTAAGTAGGTAGGACGTTAGTGACCATACGTATATAGAAGAGGAAAACGATTGCGATATTGATTGTAATGATGAAGAAGGCACATTGGAAACTTTTATAACACAGCTAGAGGAAGAACAGACACGGAGGTACTTTTCAAGATTTGACTTTCATGATCAACGAAATTTTATAGATAGTCTGTGCAAAACTTTCAGAAATGTTGTATTTAAAAAACCCCAAAGATGGAATTTTTGAAATATACCGGTGCCAATATGAATTATACGCAGCATAATATATTATGAAAATAAAAAAAAATTCGATATTAAGAAACAAATTTTTGACAAGATTACGGAGAAACTGAACGATTGATTTACCACGAACGTTAACTGCGGTGAGCCTAGACAACGCTTACCGGACTTAATATTAAGAGTCTTATTGTACAAAAATTCGAAATTTTTAGGCCAACAGGTCACGGTATCTATCATATTCATTTTAGATCTAACCCATTTTGAGGCAGATAATATATCTTCGTTTGAGGAATGTACAAAATAAGTTTAAATATTCTGTCTTTTTTGCTTTATAGTAAATAAGCGTAAAACATCAAAAAAGTGTGGGCATAGCTGACTTTTCACATTTTCGCGCCAATGCATATAAAGAGTAGGGTGTTTCGTAAAGTAAATGTGCCTTCTACATTTTATAATTTGTGAGTTGTGAGCAAAAACCAATACATCTTTGTTTACGTTCTACTGCGGGCTTCTACTCTGACCAATTTGGCCTATTTTCAATACCAATCCGATTTCGAATGTTTTTAGCAAATTTGAAGTCGATATTGTAATTTTTGCGACCAGGAGGGTGCCAACAACAAACACCACATAGACGGACAGACGTGGATAAATCAATTCAGAAAATCACGCTGATCAAAAATTTATATACTTTATAGGGTCTTTAAAGCTTGCTTTTGAATGTTACATATATTATGGGAATAAACAAAACGAATATATCCTTATCTTACAGTGGTGGGTATAAAAATGAAATAAGTAAATTAGATAAAGTTGCATAAAATAACCCAAAACATCATTTTTTTTTTAATAATAAAAAATTTGTTCGTATTCCTTGTTATGAAAATTGTCATTGAAATTTGTCGAAGAATTCTTCAATATAAAATAAACGATGAGGGAAACACATATTTGCTAAATATATGTGTGATGTTTGGTTTTTTTCTTACATATCCTATATATGCGTACAATATCGCATATTCAACCTACTACGAACACAGAATTGTATGCCATTGAATCCTAATGCTCTTCTGGTTTAGAAACGTTGGACACATCATGTCACTAAACTGTTAACAGAGCCTATGCCTACACAAGTAATGAGAATGAAAGGGCAAGCTGTCAAATGGCTGCTATTTAACACTCTCACGACTGTTCGTAATCATCTCGTAGTTTGAATTTAGAAGAAAATTGTCGGACCATTGCATATTTCGTTATCTTTGTTATAAACCATTTCATACCAACTTTTACTTTGTACATTTAGCATAGCGAGGAGGGTATTGTTAGCATGGCCAATTATGGTAAACCGAACACGAACAATTCTCAGTTTGTTATAACTTCTACGGCTTGTGAGAATTTGAATGGCACCAATGTTGTGGTTGGTCGTGTGCTACGAGGTTTAGGCATTTTGGGTGACATGGAACAGAATACTACTGATGATGGCAAACCAACAAAAGTATAATATTCTAAAAAAGAAAAAAAAAAAAAACAGTTAAAAAAATTGTATAAAAACATGCATGGAATTTTTATTTTTTTTATTTTTTAGGAAATTGTTATAGCCGATTGTGGAGAAATATTGGAGGGCCAAGATTGGTGCATCAACGATAACGATGAAAGTGGAGATACATTGCCACCGTATCCACAAGATTGGATAGATAAATTGAAACCGCTTACAGTAAGCATGCAATCATAAGATATTTTTTTATCAATGTGATGAATGAGATAAAATTTCCGCAGACTGATGAATTATTACAAATACTGTTAAGCATACGTTCCGCTGGCAATCATTATTTTACTAAAAGTCAATTTAATGAGGCTCGACGGAAATATCGGAAAGCGAATCGTTATTATAATTTCTTTCGCAAACGTTTCAATTGGCAAGAATCGCCTCAAAATTCATACAAAAATGAGGAGTTTAAGGAACTGGATAATCTTTCAGTTCTAAATAATATAAATATGGCTGCAGTCGATTTAAAATGCCAGGAATACGAGAATGCGAAATATTGTTGCTCCGAGGCGTTAAGTTTGGATCCGGCGTGCAGTAAAGCTTATTATCGTCGCGGACAAGCCAATATAGCTTTAAAGAATTATGAGGATGCTATTGATGATTTACTTAAGGCTCATTCTCTTTTGCCGGAAAATAAGGAAGTATTGAATGAATTGAATCATGCCAAACGATTGCTAGCCGATTATAATCGTAAACAAATGCTAAGATTTAAACACCTATTTAATTAAGCGTAAAAATTATGTTATATGTTAAGAAGGGTAATGGACGCATTTTCGATTTTATATTAACCAAACGTAGCAAATGTAAAAATATACTCGTCATGTTTGTAAACTTTTGAATTCTTTTGAATGTGACCTTGGCCATCCTACGATTTTGATTTGATGTAATCCATGCCTCGTCCGATTGTTCTTAAATAAGTAAGAAGTCGAAATTGACTATGGTCACCGATACGATTTGAACTTCCAAAGAAGAAAAAATATAATAATAATAATAATAATAACTGAAAATTAGTCCACGAATGACATTTAGTTTGCAGATGTCGATAACTTGTGCCCGATCTGTTTAAAATTATCCTTTTTGTCTTTCAGTTCAGCATTACCAATGCAAAGAACATTTTCATCACCCAAAATCAAACGCAAACCGCGATTTCTATATGACTTCTTATCCAAGATTCGTGCCAAGATGAATACAAAGCTTTCTCATTTATTTTTTCATACAATACTTAGAATGTGCCTATATCCTTGTGTTAATTTTTAAATCTTAGAAAAAGTTAGTCTACTGAACCATTCAAAATATTCGATTTTTTGTTTTTTTTTTTTTTTCTTTTTTACTGAACATTTAATAAAATTTCCTAATGAAATTAACTTTATTTTATTTATTATCAATCGAACAATCTATATAGGCAATTTGTGGATTTGTATGGTCCCGATTTCCCTATTCCCATAGATCAAAAATAAATATACTAATATGTCCTAGGTAATGGATATGTTAGGTGTTTGCAAAAATTGTGATCACTTTTTCACTTGGAAAAAGCATTCGTTGTGAAAAAGTGATACAATATATATATTAATTAAAATAGTTACAATAATTTTCTACAACATTTTACTATATTCGTGGCAACGAAGAGATATCGTATCGAAGAGATTTGTATTCGTTTGGCAGCAATCCATTCACCGATTCATTTTCGCATTTCGCGTGCCAGCCAAGTCATGCTGCATTAACCTGAACAAGTGGTAATCAGGAGGCGCTATATCTGGTAATTACACTGGATGTGACAGAACTTTCCATTCGCCCTGCAACAATGTATCCTGGACAACTCTTACAACAATTGGCCAAAAAATGACATTTTCAGTCAATTCGTGTCGCCAGTTTTCAATCGGTGAAATGATCAAAGATGAAGTAGTACCACCATAAGCCTGTGAAGGTGTTTGGTAGGCTTCGACAGCCGATTTCTTCAAATAGACAATAAAAGTAATGGATATAGAAAAAGAAGAATTTTGAAAGCTCCACGATTAACGTCGACGAAACCGTTATTTTATGTAGAGTATGATCAAAACCATCGAATTTAATCGTTATATACCCTTCCCCATTTTTACCTGTAAATGTCGCTGGCCAAGACTTTTGCAAACACCTAATAACAAGTAAACGATTACGCAGCCTTCATAGATTATTTGAAAAGGTAATCGAAAAATGAAAGCTATTCCAAGGAATCATTTGAATCATTTGATAACATGTCACAAGTTAAAGGGCAAATGTGCACTGATTTGGTTGTTTGTTTGCTATATAATATGACTGATCTTGGCTGTTCATAGTTTTATAGGAATGATATGTAAGGCATGTCTCCCATTACACATTCAACTACTACGAAGGCAAGAAAAGCGAGGAAATTAGTGTCTGTTACATGGTCTGACCGTCACAATCAGCGAAATTCGCACATAAAGCACAGAAGCAGATTATTAAAAAGCTTTACTATTAAAATGGTTTCGGATGACGATAAGCGTTGATGATTATGAGTTATTTCACTTTCAATCATTTAATAATGAGCTTTATTCATTTTCTTCTATAATATAATATTTTTGATTGTGTTTCATTTAACAATTTTTTTTTTTTTTATTTTTTTTTTTTGGTTGAAATTAATGCAGAATCCAAATATATTTAAAAAAGTTTTTCCTAAAAAAAATTTTAAAAATTTCTAAATTTACAAAAAAAAAGTTTCTAAGGAAGTTTCAATTATATAACAAACTAAGAAAATTTGTTCGTTTTTTTTTTTACATCTTTTGAATCAAAAAAAAGAATAAATAAATAAATAAAATAAAACTTGTTCCATATTAAAATACTTTCGCGTTACAATTCAGCAAATCTCTTCCGTTTTTAAATGATCCTTTTAAAGATTCGTCACAACATCGCTGGAATCAGCTGTTCTTAGACCGGCTGTTATACAAGCGGCACTGTTAGCATAACTTTTTAAATTGATTTCCATAGTGGTCAAAGCACTCGAAACATGATAAAGATTTTCAGAGAGTATGGCATACACTTCAAAGAGTTCGGAATCTGATTTGGAGACAATAAATGCTTCTGAAATTTTCAAAAAGGACGTATAACTTTAGCATCAGATTACAATACCAGAGTAGAATCAGATTCGACCTACCTTGACGATCTTTCATGATATTTTGAGCGTAAGTGTTTAATATTATCGACATCTCATCGAATTTGAGACGCGTATCCAAGTTGCTGTAAGCGAATATTGTTAGGTTTGGATTAGAGGTCGTCATCTGGGATATGCGTTTGTATTGACGCACGTGTGTTATAGCCGCTAACCATTTCTTGCCGTCAATTAACTCTTGCAATGTGCTCTCAAATTCGTCATTAGACATTGGTAGGCCAGGTGAAGGGGTTGGTGTATGTTCCCCCTCCGTGGTAGAATTGGATGTGTCTAAGATTTCTAATTCAGCTTCGCTGACACTGCGTACTAGAGCATCGCGCACCAAAGCATATAAATCCGAAATGTCATGCATCTATAAACGCCATAATGTAAAAAATTTTAAAAGCCATAACCTCTTAACTGAAGTTATAATTACGTTTTCAGTTTGCCGAAAATGATTGACGACATTCGAACTAATTTTGTGGTTCGATTCAATCAAGAGCAATAACTGGAACATCAGTTTATACAAGGCTCGACCTAAATCTAAGACCACTTCAGTTGAAGCTGGATCGAAAGGCATATACGGTATGCTAGAAGTTGTCGCCAAATCCAAACCGGTTACCGTTACATCATTCTCATTAAATAAAGATAGCTTGCATGACGACTTTACGGTATCCAAACACTTTAAATAGTCATAGAATTTATATTAAATCGTTTACTTTTAAACAAGATTTACCTCTAAAACTTGATCTTTTCTGTCGAAAAAAGTTTCCAAGTGCTCCTGTATTTCTAAAACGTTGAAACGCAAAGTTTCAAATAGTCGAGGAGTTGTCGTTTGATTATCACTGCACCAAACTCGCGGTGGATCGGCCCGCGAACTTAACAAATCGGTGAATAAGGAAATTCTATTACCCAATTGGGATCCAATACCGGTAAAGAATTTTTTGGCCTCTTTGGAGATACTAATGGTTTTAAAAGTTAATTCTTTAATAAGACGGTACAGTTGCAGTAACAGTTCGGACGTATGAGCTGAAGGTTGGTTCATTAGCATAGATTGTAATTGTTTTCGCCAGTTTTCCTCCGCTTCATCTCTTACCGCTGCGCCGAAACGTATGATGCTGGGAAGATGAGGTGAAGCATTGCAAGGCGTTATGTCGCCTAGATCGCCGGCACTTGAGCCGCTGGTATCACTGCGCGACACTGAATTACGCCGGCGTCTCTCTCTCAAACTCAATGACGTGGGCGGTCCAACATTAAATGTTGTCTTTATAAACGATTGGCGATGGTCTTCGTCAATAGGCGATTCAGATTCAGCCTCTTCATCTGAAGAATCATCAGCTGTTTGCCGTCTACGCTTACTAAGTATAGGCGTTTTATCGCTGAAACTGTCCTCTAATGCTGATGAATGGCCGCCTTTAATGGACCCACCAGCACCACCTCCAATCCCACTAACACCCATTCCACTACTGCAATTGAATATATCCTCTTCACCTTCAAATAATTGATGTCTGCGTACACCCCAATTAAAATTGTCTGTCGATTCACCGGCAATGCTGTCTTCATACTCCAGGAAATCGAAATCTTTGAATACTGTAAAATCCGGTTGACCGTCATCACGCCTGGAACCGCTACTCAAATCACCCTGTGGGCCGGAAGTCTCTTCGGTTGAAGACGCCGCAGATGATTGTCTTTCCATTAAGTCCGATGACTGACTAAAGATCACCTAAAATAAAGTTAATACAACAACAAAGACAATAAATTAATTTTCAATTCAAAAAATATCATTATCATGTAACACAGAAAGCATTGAACAAGCGAACTTAAGCGCATATAACAAATTGAGAGTCTTACACTTTGTCTGGTATGTATAATAGATCCGGTTAGAAGCGTAGGACTTAAAGACTGCATTTCGTTGGTCATGCAGAAAAATTTTGTTGAAATAAACAACACAGCCACAGAAGCAAAATAAAGAAAAAATATGCAAAGAGCTATAGAATGAATGCTGAAAATGCGAAAGACAAATTGAAGTACTTAGAGAATGATTAAGCCATAGATAGTCGTTATAGTAATAGTTAATGGCTACCCCGATCAGTAATACACGGTTAGAAGGAGACACCCAAAAATTCAGAGGTCGGTAAATCTCAACAGACACATTAGATGACGTAGTGTTTGTCGTACACAATCTCTGGCAGTGAACAAGAATGCATATTAACATGAATCGCCTACCTGGGTCTGAGCAGCATAGAGTACCAGTGAGAGAAATTACACTAAAACACCTTAAGCAGTTTGAGCGCGCGTTGCATAAACCGAGCTGTGCTGACAACTGCTGATCATAAGAGGATCACATAAAAAATGGATGCAGTTCATTTTATGATATTCCTAATCCTTTCTAATTATTATTTTCTTTATAGAAAAGCCACAAGACTGGATTCAATTTCATTCATACATAACACGTCCATTTAATATGCCAAAGCCAATTGTTCTCATATAACGACTCTTTCAAAATAGGGCGTTATATGTGCAGTGGTCGTAATTCGTGGTTCAATCCAATCACTTTTCAGTAAAAATTCGTCACTGTGTCATAATGTATCTGTGTATTAAATTCTCCAAAACATTTCGAAAAACAAAATCTATACCGTAAACACAAATACACATAGACAAACATCTTGCCAATAGTCGAACAGATTGTGATATAATGAAAGTTTGTTCCATTTTAAGTTTTTTTGGATATTGTATGCGCATCGGCGCAAGTAGAGCACGATATAGTAAGAACGTCATGTCTCTTAACTGCACGTTCACGTTACTGATGTAGGATAGCATGCATTAATTAAATATTCCAATCCAAGAGACATGTTGTCTAGTCCGTTAGTCGAATGTTTTCAATGCCAGGCTGATACTAATAGGCATCCAGTTATGGGCCAAACTAGCCGTGACGTAGTGTGAAAACATAAGCAGACCGCTGAAGGTAGACTGCCAGGGCAAAAATTTTAAATTCATTAAGATAAAAGTTTTCTTAACTAATGTCCGTCCGCATGGCAAATGTAGAAGAAAATTTAACTCTAGAACATGCAATTTTATTGTGTTCAAAAACAAAAATTGAAGTATATTTACACATGCATAAATACATACAATCATAAATATCTAAATAATTCAAATACACTTTGGCTTTCGTAGAAAATCGAAATGATTATTACCTTGGAGCATATGGAGTTAATGAAATCATCCTAAAAACATTTCAAATGCAATGATCGTTATAAACTTGTATATATATCGTATATATATATATATTTATATATTTATATATATATATATATATTTATATATGTATATATATCGATATATGTATATATGATATATGTATATATATTTATATATGTATATATATCGATATATCTATGTATATTTATTGTACATGTCTAGATATGTCCTATATTTATATATATCGTATATGTGTACATATGTATACATATGTATATATGTATGTCGATATATATATGTAAATATATCGTGTATATACATATATATATATATATATATATATATATATATATTTATATATATGTATATTTGTATGTGTGTGTATACATGGGTGTATATATATATATATATATGTGTGTGTGTGTGTGTGTATCGGTATATGTGTACGTGTGTGTGTGTGTGTGTGTGTAAAATATGAAAAAGGAAACATAAAATTATTCTCTAAATAAAATTCTATGAAACAATATCAAAAAAAAAAAAACAATAAAAATCATATCATGCAACTATTAAAACAAAACTGAAAATATCAGTTTTTCTTCTAAAGACAAAATTTTCGTTTAAGCTTCTTACCGAGGGCGATTTAGGTAGACCGACTCGTTGACCGCAAGTCGTTAATAGATTCACTAAGCATTCTCTGACACGACTTTGGCACATCCAAGGACGCTTCCAACCGCTTAGAGGTGCTGTGTCGGCTGGTGATAGGCTAGCGCTACGTCGCGGTGAATTGGGCGTGCCCGCCGTGGTGTTGTTATGTTGCTGCTGATTTAAGTGAGCATTATTGTTATTATTTCCTGATTGTTTACTAATGGACGTTTGAGAATGTAGATTGCTAGTCGAGGATGTATTACTGGACGAAGATGTAATGGTTGTAGTAGCTGTACTGTTAGATATGATGGTTGTCGTTGTGCCACTGCCACCACCGCCACCGCCACCACCCCCCGAACCGGAGCTTTCTTCTGTTTTTAGTAAGATGCGTCGTCCTATTAACGGAGTTTGTGAGACGTCAAATGTAAATTCCATAGTGCGTCCGGCTAGTTCCTTTTTACAGAACATATCCGAATCCGGATATGTACCATAGAAAGAGAACGATAGACCGACGCTGCCGCCCTCGCTGGGAGGCACTACTTGTAGTGAAGAGCTTCGGGTAACAATTAACTTTAAAATCTTCAAAGAATCCTTCCAATTAACAGTCTGTAAGGCCAAAATAAAAAAAACAAAAAAAACATCGTACCAAATCATATGAGAGTCTCTTCCATTTTGTATCTATAACTTTGTTTACTAACCTCCAGATATTTTCCTATTGCCCTCAACAAGTCGCTATTTATAGTTTGAGCCTGCTGCGTAGACAAGTCCACATAGTGTAACATGCAATGCATGACATTTAGAACAGGGACTTGTATTTGTGGCGGTCCTTTCTCCAACACCTCAATTAGAAAGGCGAGCATATGCAACCCCATGTGAGCATATGTATCGTGTAAATATTTCACTACACATTTCGTCCATTGAAAGGATTCTTTGCAAAATGTTTTTCGACTGTATAGTGTCATTACGGTGCCCAGGTTTTCCAATTTAGCTCCCAATTCTGATGAGACCTGCGCAATATTTTCAGCACTGCGTATACAAATCTCATTAGCATCTTCGAAATGTAATAACATGTACGGCAGTAAAGCCATAACATTCATGGGAAAAGCGCAACTCTGTGTGGGATCACAAACTGGCAAATTCAACAGCGGAGCAAATTGAGAGAGCAAGGTAATGGTGGGTTCATAAGTTGTTACATGAGTGCAGCCCTGTTCAAATGGTAGAAAGTTCATATTCTAAGCATATATGTGAATATTAGGTTAAGACTTTTGTAGTTACTTTTAAAAGTAAAGCATGTACTCCTGGATAGCCGGCCCATTTTAATTGTTGTTGCAATTTTTCCACCTTATCCCTGGCATCTGGCCTATCCAAAGGTAGACGATGCAGGACACGTGTTAATAGACGCAAAGCCAGTAGAAATTCATGCTCATAATCGCTTTCCAATAAAGATACCGAAAGCCAAAATAATTGAGCCAAAATTGTCATTTTGTCATCCTACATACCGCGAAAAGGAGAGAGAGAGAGAGAGAAAGAAAGGCAATACGAGACCGACAAAAAGCTGTTTTAACAATTTTCATTAAAAGTTCATCTCTTTTACCTGTGTGGCAGTGTCACCTAACATTTTTAGACTTTGCGCACTTCTTGAACGGGACAAAGCTGATCCACTGGCTATACCAAATTTAGCCATATTACGTTCCATATCCAAGCAAGTCGCACGATTGCGCAATTCAACTAAGAAAATATTACAATTATTCGATTCATTAATATTTAAAGGTTGTCAGTACGTCTCGCATACCTTGCTTATCGCACGGCGAATTGCTACTTTTGCGGGCGCAATATGACACTGAATAACTTGTACTTCTAGCATGAGATTGTAATGAGAAATTTGGCGATTGTGGTGTCATGCCGGAGGGCGACTTCTTACCGCCAGCCAATATTGAGTTTGTTCCACCATCTTTATTATTTAAATTTGGCGTGCTCTTGAATATGTCTTTCATTACGTCCAATGGACGAAAATCGGAGTCTAAACTATCAACCGCCGCTTCAAGAGTAAGTAATAGTTCGGTTACATAACCTTGCATATCTTCCCCTTGCTCGGCCACAGTTTCCACCAGACGTGACAGTATATCGGAGAGCATACGAGAATTTATTGGTACATTGAGAGCACGAAAAATTTGCAAGCAACGTCCAGCGTAATGACGTGACGAACATGACAAGCCTAATTGTAGAGCCGTTTGAGCCCAACGTTCCGCGATACGAGCTTGCGGATAGCTGTCAGAAAATACTTTCACAATGTGTCGCAAAAAACAACTGAGTTGTTCGGCTGATTTTATAGACCATACTGCGAAGAAGAATGAAGAAAAGAAAAATTGAAAATTGTCGAAAATATGCAAGAAACATATATAAATATAGATATGTGTGGGAAGTGTATATTCACTCTACTCGAGAACTGCATTTTATACCCTAAGGCCTCTACGACAAGTACTGATTGATATTTTCCTTCTCCTCGCGGATATTTTTGGCACTTTTAATGATTTCAATCATAGCAAAAGTGTTTCTTAATTTCAATCTAATACTCGATACGCATACTTAATATTAAAGAATTGGAGAACCTTTCGACAATGGATGCCTAGTAAATAACGCTAAAAAGACTAAAGACGAAGAGGAGTATATTACGATTACTCACTCTTTCGTAAAATTCGGCAATACACGCTTTATAGAACCAATAAAATACATGTCGTCTTCCTTCTTGGCGTAGGATTCTGAGTAATTTGAATTCTGTCCATCTGTCACTGATTTATTGGTGACTAAATCCGTGAACCTGTAGTGAACCGAAATATATTTTCGATAAGACATTTTTAGCTAAGAAAGGAACAATGGTAATCAAAGGACGGTAGGGAGTCCCTGCGTTAGTACATGGGGACGTTGTAGCTTAGATCTAGCGATATCGCTAGCGTCAAATTTTACAGAAAAGGATCAGTTTACTCCAAAAATAAATCAATACAAAAGTGTAGCCTCGAGCCATGCATTAGGCTGAACTGCTCAACTGACTGGGCTAGCTAGGCTATAAACTTTTCAAGAACTGAAACAAACACAACAAAAGGTACTATGTATATAATATGATAAGCTCATAAGGGCAGTCTCCTATTATTTTATTTTAGTCAAACTCTTTCCATAGATTACTTGTCCCGCTTTAAATTGAGCTTGTTTACTATGGATGATACAAGTTCGTTGATTCTTTTTGTAGGCTTCCATCAGTCACCTCTGGGATAAACACAACAATGAAAGTGAATTTCGCTTTAATACAGATTAAGTTGCCTGGACTCAAAAAAACAGGACTTTCAAAATCGAAAGGTCTGAAAGGAATTTGCAAAATTGGAGGGAAGATTAAGTAAATAGCATCGATTTGTGTGGCTGAAGGCAAATAATCTCGACTAGCAACTCAATTGTCGTGGTGGGGTTCGAATCTCGAGGGCGGTAGAGTTTTTAGTAAAGCGGATAGCATTAGATGCTAGTCCTTTAAGACTTTAATCTTAGAATTTATTTTGCTGACTAATTTAATAATAATTTCAAAAATATACTCAATATTCATTTATACGTCATAAAAAAATGACGTAAATTTTGTTTCCATTGCTTTAATAAGAATCACGTAACTAAGTATGAGTTCAGTGAATATTTACACTAATTGCTTAATTTTGTTTTTACCTTTTGCTGTTATATCCTCATAATTCCATAGTGGTTGACAGGTGTCATGTGCTAAAAATTTCAAGAGACTTTTAATTACATGCGCTATTGGCATCGTCGGACCTGGTTGCGGTGGTGCATTTTCATCGGCAATTATTAAAGGAACTTCAGAGTTTTCGCTTGTATTAGGATTTATTTGTATGGTGTTACCTACATTTTGACCACTTGTAGTCGATGCCGCCACCACTACCACATTGGTTGTTGTTGATTGCAATGATAACTGTTGTTGTTGTTGTTGCTGTTGTTGTTGTTGCGTTTGTTGATGTTGTGATGACGATGATGGTGGTTGCAATTGCTGTAGACTGCTATTTGATAACTGCGAAATCGGCTGCTGAGGGTGTTGATGTTGTATGCTCTGATGTTGCGTCTGTTGCTGCTGTTGTTGTTGCTGTGCGGTATTTATGTTTGTAACCATAATAAGCTGCTGATTAACTGTATGATAAGGCATTTGATTATTATTTGTCGTCGATTGTTGCTGCTGTATAGCGTACATTGCATTCGTGCCAATTGTAACTGGCGTAATTACGCAACACGCGGGATTCATATAATATAAATAACTATCGAATTCCTGCTGAGATTCTAAAAAAGCAAATACAACAAGCGTAACATTATTGCTATGTAGGGCAACAATAAAGAATAAATTAAGTTTTAATGAATAACTACGCTACCTGTAAAATTATTATCGATCACTGGCAATGAAGGTACCGTTAAACCCAGATCTAACTTAGTAGTGGCACTGTTTAATAAAATACGTGCCACGGTTAAGTGATCGTTGTGTTCAGCCAACACAATCTAAGAAGGCACAAGGAATGTAAAAATAGAAAAGAGAATTTGATAAAAATCTGAAGAGTTGGAAAAACACGATCAACTTACCAATAAATTCATGCACAGCTGTTTGCAATGTTCTCGGACAATAACGCGTGTATGATCCAAACCTAGGAGCAATATATGCAACATTAAAGGTAAATGTAGCGTCCAATCGATACCTGGTATGCCATCGACTACAATTTCTGTTAATAGCATTACAGCGACATTGCATCTATTAATAAATTCGATACATAACGGAACGAAGAGAATGTATTGCACAAAGTGTACGTACCGATGAAAACCGCTTATAGGCAGACTAACATCGGGTAAAAATTCGGTGAGTGGAGCAAAGTAACCGCCATATTCGGGCATGGGTAAGGGATGAGGTGGAACATTACCTGTCTCGGCACTACGTAATTCGACATTTTCCTCTTGACGCAACTGGAAAACGAGAACAACTCAATGAAATATACTTTTACTTTGCCATTTTATCTAAAAATAAAAACTAATTAAATCTATACAAACCTCAGGATCGTTAATTAGAATATCTTCGGGACGGGGTAAGATGGAAGGGCCAGAAGCAGCGCGTATTTTATCTGCTCCACGCGGTGGTCGATTGTTGGTAGATTGTGTGAACGCACGTATACCACTATCAGATTTGCAGGTTCTTGGTAATTATGACAAAAAGTAAAAAATTATTTTTAGTCAAAAGTGACATGAAATATTTACGTATTCCGCTTAGCTCGAAATCTTTAATATCCACTATTCACTAATACTTGTTCGATTATTTCAAGTTAAAGAATTGATTTACGACATGAACTAACGCAGTCAGCATGCATCGTTATTAGTATTATAATTTTTATACCCATCAACGAAGGATGAGGGGTATATTCATTGTGTCGAAACATTTGCAACGCTCAGAAGGACACTTCACAGACCCCACAAAGTACATATATTTTCGATCAGCATCAAATTCTAAATCAATTTAAGCATGTCCGTTTGTTCGTTTGGCTGTCTCTCCTTCTATCCAATGTCTGTTTCAAGCATTCCCCCGGCCGCAAAAATGCAGCTATCCTCTTGAAATTTAGCAGAAATATTTGAAGTTCTTGCGCGCCGGTTGATATTGAAAATGGGCCAATTCGGTCGAGGGACACGCCCACAGCATCACATAAATTAAGAACACCTATGTTTTTCAAAAGGAATGAAAAATTGGTTTTTTGATCATCACTCATAAATTGTTGCAGACAAATTCACGAAAATTTGAAAACATATCTCTTACATATTTTTTATATTATAGTGAATCAAAATTTAATTGTTTTTTCAATGCCGTTATAACGCAGAGAAAGAAGCTTCAAAAACCCCATAAGTTTCAAATTCGGAATACACCTAAGCATTTTCGTTTATTTACATTCTACCGCTCGCTTTTACAATGAAGATATCGCTTACAATCTTGATAAAGAATTTGAGATTGACCTTAAGTTTTCAAAGAATACGCCTACCATGCCCACACGTTTATGTGCCAAAACCTGTCAACGCCTTTGTTTCCCGTTTCCCGTTTTCCGTGTTACTCATCAAGTACAACACATACACCATACAAATTTCCACTTTTTTTCTAAAAATAGAAAAAATCAACTGCGTCCATCCAATATTGTGGAGTGTGAAAATTTAGTTCTTTTCATTTTTTCTTTTTTTTTTAGGGCAAACGATTCGATTCGGTCACGACCGAATATAATTTGCCTTCTTGTTATAAAATATCTTTTTCTTAGTCTGCCTGCAAACGTGTATTACTTTTTTACTTTAATGCGGACTCGAGCTCGAGGAACAAGTGAAAGTCACATTGGCGACAAATCAAGCGAATAAGGCGGCCGGTCTAACAATTAAATATTATACTTTCGCTCACTACTATTCCATTTCCATTTTTTTTATTTTTATTTTTTTATATACAGCCTTTGTTAACAATATTTGTTATTTCCAGCACTTATGCGAACCGATCAGATCATCGATTTTTTTAATATTTTATATCTGTCTTTCAAGTGAAAACGAGGCTCGGGTGGGCATTATTTTTATTGCCTTCACGATCATTTTAGAATCGCCTAAAACGGCTAAAAGTTCCGTACATAATATTCAAGTTGTCAAGAGCGGTTTTTCCACGCTGGAAGCGAGTCGAAACCGTGTCGGTCCCTCTGGCGATTGTGTGGAGAAGGTTTTGACTACTACGTCACGAATTTGGAATAATGGTTATAAAGTTATACAAGTTTTTGACGTTATCTCTGTCATTTTACAACGCGTACAATATCGTATCTTGAAGCAAACAATCTTCGAAGAAAGAGGTTGAGAAATGGAGGAGCAATGGTAAAACCCAATGAAAACTTTATTATAAAAGAAAGATAAGACTTTAAAATTCGAAACAACACTTTTTATTATGCGTTTCTCTGATCTATTGGTATATCTGCTATATATAAGATCTTTATATCAGGCTTATATTAGGGTGAATTAGGGTGGTTCTTAAAATTTGCGCGAAATTTTTGGTATACCTAGATGGAACGTTGGTGTTTGTGTGATATAAGTTTCATTTGTTTACAAACTTTCTTATTTAGTGTATGTTAGTGTGGAAACGGACCGACGTAATGCATAGCAATAATTGAAAAGGAATCAGTCACTACGAACTACTTGAAACCTGATGAAATGATCGCATCAAACGCAATTAGTCGAGCTAAATGACGTGCTTGCGGAAAAAAGACCCAGGGATCGATCTTCAAATCGGTCTGGACACGTTTCTCGAGTGTGGCGTATTCTTCAGACCCATGTTCTTCTCGTTAACCCTTGGTCATGTCACTGCAGCCATCTTTAGCAGACTAGTCGTAAAGTTTAAGATGGGCGACAATGGGTCGATAACTGTTTCACTTAGGAACCACGAACTTTCTACATAGAGGGCATCGGCTACCCGACAAGAAGTAAAAACTCATAGATAACGATAATGAACATTTCAAGCTGATGATCGAGCTTCGTAACAAGTATAGTTCAATAATAAATTTGTATTTATTTTTTTTTTAGAAATGGACTGAATTTATTTGCACAACTATTGTAATGCATCGAATAAACGTAACATCAAGTGATTTAAACTATTTTCGTTTAAATACTTACCCAGTTTTAATGGGATCCTCACCACTATGCCGTTTTGTGTGAATTGTACCTTTTTCTACGGTCAGATCTTGTATACGTGAATCATTTATGCCACCAGCAGGTTGACCTAATTCAAGACAAACAATGTATTATGAATGGCGTTAGGATAAAAACAATCTCATATAAAGCAAATTTTGTTTTTCTTCTTTTTTTTTTTTTTTTTTTTTTAAACGATAACTTAATCGAAATACAAGTACATGCAAATGCACGTATATGCTGTCTCTAAAATATACTAACAAATTGCACAATAAAAAAAAAAAGAAATAGGTAAACAAGTAAGGAAATTATATTCGGTCGTGACCGAATTTTCTACACCCATCATCGTTATCTTAAAAGAGACAAGTAAATAAATAAAAGGATTAAATTTGCACGCTGTATAGTATGGAGTAGGCGTGGCTTTGAAAAGTTGGCGCGTCAAGGTCAATTTTAAATTCTTTTGCAAATTTGTAGGCGATATCTTCATTTTCACTAGCGCGAGAATGCTTACCATAAATACTAAGTAGTTGCGCAAACGCACAGATGGACAGATGAACAAGCAGACATGTTTACGTGCATGCAAGGATTGTAACTGGCCAAGAATTTATACACTTTATGCGACTATTGCATCTTGCTTCTGGGCATGATAGAGGTATTAAAAAAAATAAATTAAATTTTAATATATTATAATATTTGATAGGCATGATCAATTTTTTCCATTTTGATACATTATACGGTAGTACAGTATGGCCCACAGAATATGCATTCGAATTTCTGTACATTTATCTGCAATGGTTTAGGAGTAATGATGAAAAAATCAAATTTTTCATTCTCTTTGAGAAGCAGAGGTCTTCGCAGTTTACGTGGCACTGTGAACGTGTCCTTCGATCAAGTTTTGATCCATTTTCGATTGCAATCTATGTGGAAGAACTTGCAACGTTTCTGCCAAATTTGAAGTCGACGAGTTCGACTGCGGCCACGAGAATATTTGCAACAGACATTAGTTACAAGGACAGACAGTCAGACGAACAGACGGAAATGCTTAGATCGATTCAGAATTTGATGCTGATCATGAATGTATATACATATACATATATATATATATATATATATATACTTTGTGGGGTCTCTGAAGCTTCCTTCTGGTCGTTGCAAACGTTTTGACAAAATGAATATACCACTCACCCTTCGGTATAAAAATAAATAAATAAAGAAGTAAATATATAGATAGCTTGTTCAATAAATTTGCTCTTTGCTATCACTTTAAACATTTTTAGTCAAGGTGTGCCTGTCACTTTCAAAAGGTATATGTATACATATATCAACCGGAGATGTTTATCTATACGTATGCGTGCATTTTGTGCGCTACCGGTAACGGTAACCATATCAAAATCAATATTCGATATCTGTGTAAATGTTTATGCTTTCAAATGTTTATCTAAGCTCTTCGGTTCAATGAATGTAAATAAGTACCGTTACGCCTAGAATGTTGACATAAGATGAGGGCATAAGCCAAGGTTAGTGGTTTTATGCATGCATAAGCTAAAAAAGACAGAACGAAGACATTTGCTTGCATGCGAAAGGATTCAAAAGGAATTTTTATTAAGATGAACACTAAAGCTATATAAAGAAAATATAAATATATATAAATATATATATATATATATATATATATAAATCTGTATTAAGAATCAGTTAAATAGATAAAGGACAAACATTGGGCTAATTTTAATTTGAATGAATGCTAGCATATATCATACGAATATTTTTGAAACAATTTTCTTAACCACTACATCATCTACGCATTGTACAATATGTTCGCGTATTAACTCGAATACGGGATTTCTTTGAATCTTTTTCTTTTGATTACAGGCTTCAAATTGAAACAAGTAAATCTTATTCATCTTTATAGTAATTCTCCTCTTATATCCTTTATTTAAAGTGGACATTTAACGTAGACGAAATAGAATTTATGATGCAGACCAGGTAAACCGGTACCGGTATTCGGTGTAATTACCTCAGTTATTATTCAGATATTATAAGCGGAAATTATGATTGATGAACGAATCATGGCTTACCAGAACCGACCTAACTGAAGCGTTCATCATAGTAAGACCAGGGTGAACATGCGAAAAGACATCATAAAGTCATTTTATAGCATCATGGCATTCGGTCCTATATCGCAAAACCGGTTCACGAAAATTTCGTGGCGCTAAACTTGGACATGCCGGTTTGCTTTTCCCCGTCTTAATTCTCGTTGATTGTCTCGCTTCTGATTAGTCTTTAATTTAGTTAACGACTTATAGTCAGACTATAACGCTTTCCGATCCCTGGAGGCATACACCCAAAGGGGACCCTATTAAGTATATGTATTCTTGATCGGCATGAAATTCTAAATTGATTAAGTCACATCCGTCTGCGTGTCTGTGTGAGATGTGTTCATAACAAATCTTTTGATGATATCGACTAAAAAGTTGGAACTTAATACACGCAGCTTGACATTGAAATTGGGCCAAGCGGGCTTTCTCAACCAAGGTGTATGGCTTTTTGCTCATAACTCACAAATTATGAATGATAGAAGGCTGAAATTTGTCACATTTACTTTACGCGAATTTCTAGCATTTATGTGCACAAATGAGAAGAATAGGCCATGTGTCCATGCAAAGCTATGAGTGATTAAATTATCTTTTTTTTCACTTTTTTCAGGTTTTTGTGCTTAGCAATCACAAGGCAAACAAGATAGAGTGTTTACATTGCTTCAATGAAGATATATTGTCTGCCAGAGAAGGCGTTAATTCTAAAATAAATATGATCAACACCCCGATTCCCGTGGATTAATCGTTTCTTGATAGTGCCAACGATATGCGTATCAAGGTAAGCTTGTTAATTCTAAACTAATTATGATGGATCTCGGGACGCTGTAGACTCGTTCGTTTCTCTTAATAATATCTTTTAGTGGAGTAAAAGATGAGAGGTAATTTTTATCCCACACACATTTATTGTCATAATAAATGAAAGCAAGGGACACGCTAAAGATTTTAACGTTGGTGGGTATATGGGATTCGGCCACAGCCGAATATAACTCGCTAAAACATTTTTAAAAAGTAAATTAACTTAACTCTACTATATAACCCTTTTTTTTTTTGTGTCATTATAAAAGTAGGCTCTGTCGCTTGAGTAGTCTTCTCTCAATTTGTGCGATGTCGATATTGCTTTATGAACTTTGAAATTAACTGGCGAGGTTCCGCTCGATGCTCGATTAGCGCTGCGAAAATTCAAACGAGACACTTTCGAAATTTTGTACATTTTTTCAATAACTCGATACCCAATCTGAAAACTGTTTAACTAGCCATCTCGCTGCCTAAAATTGTTCATTCTAGCATAGGGTCGCTCGAACTTTTTTTATTCGGTGAGCGATTATTCGTTTGGGCGAATATTAATGGGTCCCGTCCCGTGAACCCTTCAATTAGTTTACTTTCAATCTGGGAACTTTTCAAGTACTTCAACTGGTACAACTACGTCCTTTCGTTTGGGTGATTGGGCAATCTATACCTGGTCGGGGTTTTTTTGCAATGTTGATAATGAGTCTGAAAAATGCATTTGGTGAATAATATTTCATTTCTACAAATGATATATTCACGGCCAACAATTAAGTATAACTGAATTGAAAAGGTGTTTTTGGTTTCGTGCAAGACATTTGGACATTATTTTGGAATTAAAAAACCTTTTCTAGTAAATATTTTTGATCAATATTTCGAGCATAGAATAAATTTGAAATTTTATAATATAATTATGGAGGATAGTTTTTTTTGTCAGCTCTCTAGACAATATATTAACTAATGCATGTTGAATTTTTTCATCCATACATTTTCCCAAAATTTCATAATATATTCTTAGGATTTTAAAAATTCAAGTTTTAAAATCACTTTGTGATTACTTTGATTATGGTTTTTGTTTTTGTTTGGAAGATTTATTTTATATAAGAGAGAAGTAAAAGGTATTATTTTATATTGAAATTAAATTAACATCTTTATTTGTTGTCGTTAATGAAAAATTAACAAATTCAACTTTAACTGTTATGTCTTGCGTCGTCCCTAGACTTGCCGAATAAAACTCTTTAAGGTCAAATTAAATCAGTTCATTATGTCATCATATGGAACGTTAATGTTCCATTTAAATTCAAATTTCTATATCAAAATATAAGCAAACGATTTGATTTAAGTTTTAATTTAAGGTTTAAATATTTTGTAAAAAAAAAAAAAAAAAAAAAAATTGCAGCAATTTCCTGGAATCGAATAATGAAGTTTTCAATTTATATCACACACATACACACACACACACATACACACACCCATACACGTATAAAAACTATTTAAATAATTACCATCAGCTGAATGACTGGAAGCCTTTCGCATGCTTGTTAAACGATAAAATGGCGGCGTTTCCGTGCGTTCAATTAGGCAATTAAGTGTTTCAACCGTTTGCAATTCAGCCATTAATTCATCCAATAAACGATCAGGACAAGTCCGAGCCAAATATAAGGCGACGCGTTTAGCCTGCAAAATATAATAATTTCAAGAAAATAGAAAAATCAAAAATAATTGAAAAACAAAAAAAAAAAGCAAAGAAGGGAATTGTATTCAATTAGGACCGAACAGTTTAATAACGTTATCACGCTAGTTGTTTGGGGCAAGATTGATGATAAAAAAAAAGAAAATTTACCTAACAGAGCAAATTTAATTTTCGCAATCTACAATCGTTTTGTGTGAATCTAATGTGGCCTCGGTGCTGGTAACGTCTACGCTACTCTTACTTTTTATTCACTTTTATATCGGATAAAATATGTGCCTATGAAAAAAACAAGCGAATTATCGCTCATACACCTATCAAACATATTTAACATCAAATAAAATTTGATCCGTAATTTTATTTGATGTTAAATATGTTTGATAGGTGTATGAGCGATAAT